TTTTTAGAGAACTAAAAAATTTATCATAATTAAAATATGTTTGTGTTAGACTTTTGAATAACGTATCACCACACTAATAACCCTCCCTCCCCAAAGTTGGTGGTTATTGCTTATTGGAATCGAATCTCTGTCTCTGCTTGAACAAACCAGCTAACAAACACTTAGTTGGCGTATTAGACTTGATAGCTTATAACCTGATTACATCTCAGTTGAGCAGTTTAACTAGGCTTCTAGTTCTAGTCTTAAAAAACATCTAAAAGTTTTTAGATAGAGCTAAGTAAAAACTGAACCAACTTGCGATGAATCACGTTGTATGCTTGCGTTTGAGTTTAAAACTCTTATTGAGCCGAGGCTAAATTGGAAGGAAACTCGGTTGATTTAATCACCCAGTGGCGTTTTTTTTTTTTTTTTTGGGACCATCTTCACGAGCTGAGCAAACCACCGATTAAGCCAAAAAGCCAATGACCTAGTGAGCTTTCTGGTAATTCATTCTACCACAGAACCATTGAAAACCATGATGTAGACTCTCGAAGTTTGCTAATGCTCAGTTTGGAAGGAGTATAAATATGTACAGTGCAAAACTTTATATATTGTATGTATTTGCACTTTACATATTTATATTTGTACTCTTTCCAAACTGAACCTACCAGGAAAATACATAAAAAGTCATGATAGTGCAAATTTTTGCAACTAAGGCTGTTTTTTTTTTTGTTGCAGTGCAAATTTATTTGCACTATTTAGTACAAATGTATGGGAGTGTAAATGAAAACAAAATGCAAATTCTCATTTAATTTTATTTTGAGTTTTATTTTACTCTGTTCCATGCCTTAATTTACTTCATTTGTACTGCAATCAAACAAAATAAACTAAAATTTGAAACAAAAATAAGTCAGAATTTACACTATCATAATTTTACAGCAGTAAATTTGCATTGGAACCATAATTTCCAAAAATAGCGCGCTTCTACATTTTTTTGTTGTTAAAACTTAAAAACGTAATATTCATTGAAATATTTGATTCCAAGGATAAGAAGAAATGGAATAGGCACCTCCTTGTACCCTTTGACGGTCACTCCCTGTCTGATATCTTTCTGGTTTGATCGATGCCTTTGAGTATTGTGTTCCTCAACAGTGAACAATTTTATGCCTGGTGATGGAACCTTTGATGATCTAGGGATTTTTCAGTGTGCGTGATAAAAAATCAATTGCTACCTCAGAAAAAGAAAAACGATTTTTTGTTTGTAAAACAAAAATCACATACTGAATGAATGTGTGTTGAAAACAAAAACAATTGTCACACTAACAAAGTAATATCGTTTTTTCTATGTGACCTCCCTAATAAATCTAGGGGGCTGTTTGGTGTAGTAGTGTTCAATTTTGGGTTCATCAATACAAATTTCCCAGAAATATGTGCTGTCATATCATATATCATTCTCATTTCAGCTAAAAAAAATGAATTTGTGTGATTAATCAAAATAGCAATTTAACATGATTTGTTTTGTAAAACAAAAACAAATGCCACGTTGGAAAGAAAGCAATTGACCTTTTTAGTTTCTGATGTGGTAGTTATTGAGTTCGGCTTCAGTTAGGGCAAAGTCCATTCGATAAGCCTTTATTGCCTTGTATTGAGAATATCTCAATACTTGTATGCTTTATTTCATGGAGAGATATTCTCAATGCAAGGTTGTAAAATGCTGTTACAACGGTATGGGCACAGATTTGCCCTGATAGAAGCCGATCTCGTAGTTATTTTTGTTTTTTACAAAATAAAATCAATCATGTTAGAAAACAGCCAGGATCAATCCTATGGAGTGATCATTCAATACATGGTCCCAACCATGTCCCAATAAGCCATTCAGCCATACATTGGGAACATCTCCCTATGAAGAGATGGGATGGGCTCCCCAGAGCCTATACCGCCCATGAATTGGGAACATCTTTCATAGTCCCATGACAAGCACAGAAGATGTTCCCAATGCACAAGGGGGATGGGTAGTGGGCCGCATATGCGGGGAGCCCATCAGAACTCCTCATGAAGAATAAAGATGTTCCCATGGCTGCAATGGCATGTTGCAAGTATTTTGTATAAATGAGTATATTATTTTATATTATATTATATAGTAGCAAGGTCCCGTGCAATACACGGTAAAATTTGAAAACCAAATAATAAGATCGAAGGAAAGTAATTCACAAGAAAATAATAAATGCATATTTACTGTTAATTTAAGGTTAATTAAATCATAATTATTATTAATTTGTAAATAAATTTAAATAATTGTTGTTAGTTAATAGTAAAATAAGTAAATTATTGTTTATGATAAGTAATTGAATGGTGATAGAGCAGGTACGAGGGCAAAGACCATATTCCCCTTCCTTGACTCCTATTTTGAAACAAATTCTCATCCCCGATTTCGACCACTACCAGGGATAAAAGTTACCCTCCACCCCCGATTCCTGACTAAGACAAGTTTCCCATCGGGACCTGAATCACCAAAATTATTTTAATTAAAAGTATTTTTTGGAAAATAAATTTACTTAAAACAAAGAATAATTTAAAATATAAACAATATCTTAAACATATTTTGATATATATATATATAAAGAAAAGCGGTTCATATCAACTACTCTCTCCAAACTCCCTTCCTCCCTTAACTCTCTCTCCTTTCCCTTTCCCACCACTCCCATTTTGCCAATTCAGCACCTTTTCTCTTCATTCCTTAATTAAGATAACGAAATAACCAATTTATAACTATTAATTATGTAATTAAAAGTATTTTTAGAAAATAGATTCACTTAAAATAGAGGAAAATTTAAAATATAAATAATATTTTTAATATATTTTGATGTACGTATAATGTTAAATAATATTTAATATATATAATCGGGATATAGGCAAGACAGGGACTTCACTCTCAATCATCGACCTGAATCACCAAAATTATTTTAATTAAAAGTATTTTTTGGAAAATAAATTTACTTAAAATAAAGAATAATTTAAAATATAAACAATATCTTAAACATATTTTGTATATATATATATATATATAAAGCAAAGAGGTCCATATCAACTACTCTCTCCAAACTCCCTTCCTCCTTAACTCTCTCTCCTTTCCCTTTCCCACCACTTCCATTTTGCCAATTCAGCACCTTTTCTCTTCATTCCTTAATTAAGATAACAAAATAACCAATTTATAACTATTAATTATGTAATTAAAAGTATTTTTGGAAAATAGATTCACTTAAAATAGAGGAAAATTTAAAATATAAATAATATTTTTAATATATTTTGATGTACATATAATGTTAAATAATATTTAATATATATAATCGGGATATAGGCAAGACAGGGACTTCACTCTCCATCATCGTCCCCATCCCCAATTAGGGATACCTATTAATCCCCATCCCCGCCCTATTAATCCCCATTAGGTCAGGGAGGTTGAGTACTCGGTGAGGATGGGGAAAATTGCCATCCCTAAGTAATTTTGTTAATTAAATAATCTAATTAAATTTTATTAAGCAACCTAATAAATTAAAGGTTTAAAGTGTTAAAAAATTAGTAAATTAATTAGTGTAAATTAAGTAATTATTATGGAAACTTATAATTAACCATTTTATTGTTAATTATGTAAATAGATCTAATTAAATTAATTAGTATTAATTATGTAAATCATTGGTATTATACAACCCAAGAATGTGGTTTGCAAAGTTTTGACTCAAGATTTTAATGCAACTCATATTGTTGTTGAGAATGGAAGAGGATTGTGAAAATGGAAGATTGTTCAAAATCTTCTCAAAATACTTTATCCAATTTTGTAAGGAACCGTAACCGGTTCTACTCCATGGGATGTATATCTCACCAATAGAGAGAGAGAGATGAACTAATTAAGGATAGTAGTTATGTGGGTAAAGAGAGTGAGAGACGTGAGTAGTTACAGAGAAAAGAGAGGGGGAGATATTATAGGTAATATATTGAGTTAATTAAGGGGATGTTTGTAACCGTGGCCGTTTTTCAAAAAAACGGTGCCACGTCGGATTCACATAGGTGTTTCAACAAATGCCCATGTATCTCATTGTTTGGTTCGGCCGATTATTAAAAAATTGGGACCCCATGCATTGATGAACCGTTTCCCCCAACGGTTGACTGATGTATATCCTATGTGGTGCTTACCTGTCGGTACATACATGAAAAACGGTGATAAAAATCACCTTACCAAACAGCATAGTGTTGCTCACTGCCTACGTGGCAAAAGCGTTTTTTTTTTGTGAAAAGCGGGTCTTGGAAACATAGGCATTTTTTTTTGAAATTTGATCCCAAAAAGCACCCATGCTTCTAAACACCATGTAAGGAATTGAGAAAAAGGGAGGTGAATTGGCAAAAATGAGACTGATGAAAAGGGAATAAGAGAGAGAGTCAAGAAGAATACATGGTAGGAGTAATGAAATCTGTTCCTCACACAAATCGCCACACACCGACCTCACATGCACATCTCACCATGCATTGGTAATATCTTCCATGAATAATAACGTATAAGCACGGGAGATGTTCCTAATACATGGTTGGATGTGACTGTGAGGCCGGTGTGAGGCACTCTGTGTGAAGAGCAGATCGGGTCTCATAGTAATGGAACAAAAAAAAACATGGTAACGTGGACAGCTATATATATATAGATTATAATATAACACATGTAACATATTATATTAATATTAGTATAATGGATTTGGACATTTGAAGTCATAGGCCCGGCCTGGACTATAGCCCATTTCAATTGTCATGGGTGTTACACATGTAATATATTATATTAATATTAATATAATGGATTTGGATTTGAAGTCATAGGCCCGGCCTGGACTATAGCCCATTTCAATTGTCATGGGTGTTAACCCAGCCTTGGCCCACGATCTTCCCACACATGAAAGCATGATTCATGACGGGTAAATGTTTATAGACCAAACAGGAGATGAAATGACATGAGATGTAATAATGTTTATAGACCAAACGGCCACTCTGTTATGAATCATGAGATGTGCGGCTGCAATTTACGGCGGGTAGGAAAAGTGAGCAGGAAATCTGGGTTCAGGGGAATTCACTAAAATTTGGTGTTCGATGGTTGTGGACATGCTGATTGAATGCCTTGGCTGTTAACCATGGTATGAACTATGAATATTTCTCCTATTTGCTTGTGATGCGATAAAGCTTTGGAATCAGGTAAATTGCAAGCATGGCCTTAGTGAGTGTGATCTCGCGCGATGTGTTTGGTTCGGGAGCCAGTGAGCCACTCAGCCACCTCTCTTCCCGATTTGGCAGCCAAAATTTCAGTTCAGTGCATGGATGGCTAAGTGGATTGATTGATTCTTGTGTCAATAATGATAGCATTCATCTTCTTAATTTCTCTGTTGTGCTGATGGCGAAAATTTGGTTAGCTCATCATGATTTTGTCCCTGAATCTTCAAACACAGATTTTGTCAAAAATTTGGTTAGCATTCATCTTCTTAATTTCTCTGCGTGTGCTTCCAAGGAGGTGCAGGATATGAAGATGGCTTTACTTCAGACTTCAGAGCTTCAAAGAATGCTCGCCCGTTGGTGAGCCTACTCGCCCTGTTGTTGCGAGAGTTCCCTTTTTCTCTTCCTCAGATGGAGGCTTCAGTAAATCCATATCTTTTCCGCATCATAGATTTTCCCCTTTCAAAATTGTTATATTACATGTTTTGTTATATTCAATCTTTTCCTTTTATTTTTTCCGTCAGTTATGAGTTATCTCTCATATGGTTTATTGAGAACTGGTTTGCATGGTAATTGATGGAGGGCCAGCTCACCAACCGACGACAGCACCCTCTAGAGTCCTTACGTGATCCAACACCTATAGGATAATGGCGACAGCTCCATGCATTGGATAAGCATTGAGGGTGGTGGCTATTGGATGGTGGATATCAGGGCAGCATCAAGGAGGACTTCAATCCTAGATAGAAGACTAGGTGTTTTAGTTGTTTTAGACCTTTACAACTTTTCTTTCCTATGTATTATAAATATCATTAGTTCCAAGCGAATAGGCACACAAGAATTTTCTTTAGAAATTCTCTCTACTAAGGCTCTACGCCTAGCTCTTTACGTGAGGCTTCAAGTCCGAAGCCGATTCGATTGTCCGGGTGCTTGCATAGTCAGCCCGGTTGAGCGCGTCACGCTGTGTCAGGGCCCTTTGGACTAACCAACGCATCCAACACCTTCATGAGGCTAATGAATCAGGTACTGTGCCCTTTTATTGGTAAATTTGTTGTGGTATATTTTGATGACATCTTGATTTATAACAAATCTACCTCTGAGAGGTCTTGAATGCCTTAAGGGAAAACAAATTATATGCTAATTTAAAGAAGTGCACCTTCATGAGCGATAATTTGTTATTCTTAGGGTTCATTATAAGTAAGGATGGAATTAAGGTGGATGAGGAAAAGGTGAAAGCCATTAGGGAGTGGCCGACCCCAACAAACGTCACAGACGTAAGACGTTTCCATGGGTCAGCAACTTTCTACAGGCGATTTATCAAACACTTTAGTAGTATTGTAGCTCCCATCACTGAGTGTTTGAAAAAGGGAAAGATTCAATGGAGAGAAGAACAAGAACAAAGTTTTGCTCTCATCAAAGAAAAATTATGCACCGCTTCTGTCCTTGCATTACCAAGTTTTGACAAACTATTTGAGGTTGAATGCGATGCCAGTGGAGTTGGCATAGGGGCCGTACTGTCACAAGAAAAGAGACCAGTTGCCTTCTTTAGTGAAAAGTTATGCGAAGCTAGGAAGAAGTGGTCCACTTATGACAAAGAATTTTATGCTGTTGTCAGAGCACTGAAAACTTGGGAACATTATTTAATTGCTAAAGAATTTGTTCTCTACACCGACCACCAAGCTCTTAAGTATCTCAATAAGCAAAAGCAGTTGAGGAGTGACCTGCATACAAGATGGTCTGCTTTTATTGATAAATTCCCATACAAAATTGTGTATAAGGCTGGACAACAAAACATAGTGGCCGATGCTCTAAGTAGGCGTGTAGCCCTCATCAAGACTCTCAGCATTGAAATAGTGGGCTTTGAATGTTTGAAAGATCTGTATGCCCAGGATGAGGACTTCAAACAGGTGTGGGAAAAGTGCATAAATCGACAGCCAACATGTGATTTCTACATTCATGATGGGTTCCTTATGAAGGGAGAACAATTGTGCATCCCTTGCACCTCCCCCTCTGCGAGAAGATCATCAGGGATCTGCATGGGGGTGGATTAGCAGGACACCTCGGGAGAGACAAAACGATTGAAGCAGTCAAAACTCCAAGGAATATGGACAGCTAAGGGACAGACCCAGAATACTGGCCTCTACATGCCTCTACTTGTTCCTACTGCGATTTGGGAAGACTTGTCCATGGATTTCGTGCTAGGCTTGCCAAAACTCCAAGGAATATGGACTCTGTCTTCGTAGTGGTTGACCGGTTTTTCAAGATGGCTCACTTCCTCCCATGCAAGAAGACCGCAAATGCAACAATGACAGATAAGCTATTTTTCAGGGAGATTGTCCGTTTACATGGGGTACCTAAGACCATCACATCGGATCGAGATACGAGGTTCTTAAGTCACTTTTGGATGACCCTGTGGAGACTATTTGACTCATCATTGAATTTCAGCAGTACAGCTCACCCACAGACAGATGGACAGATAGAGGTGGTGAATCGAACCCTAGGTAACTTGATCCGTAGTATCTGCAGGGAGAGACCGAAGCAGTGGGATTTTGCCATAGCACAGGCAGAGTTCGCCTACAACAATGCAGTTCATAACTTTACAGGTAGGTCCCCATTCTCCATTGTTTATATGAAGGTACCTAACCATGCGTTGGACTTAGTAAAGCTACCCAGAGTACCCGGCCTCTGCACTTCTGCAGAACAACTGGAGCGAACCATTGCCAAGTACAAGAGTGCAACTGATAAACATCGTCGGCACCAAGTGTTTGACGTTGGTGATGAAGTCATGGTGTTCTTAAGGAAGGAACGCATACTCGTGGGAAAGTATAACAAGCTACATCCTCGGAAGTACGGTCTATACAAAATCATTAAGAAAATCAACGACAATGCTTATGTCGTGGACTTGCCAGATCACATGAGTATCTCCAAAACTTTTAATGTTGCTGATCTTCATCGTTACTTACCAGAGGCCACACTTGCATATCCCAGTCATGACTCGAGGTCGAGTTCTTTCCAAGTGGGGGAGAATGATGGAGGGCCAGCTCACCAACCGACGACAACACCCTCTAGAGTCCTTACGTGATCCAACACCTATAGGATAATGGCGACAGCTCCATGCATTGGATAAGCATTGAGGGCGGTGGATATCAAGGCAGCATCAAGGAGGACTTCGATCCTAGATAGAAGACTAGGTGTTTTAGTTGTTTTAGACCTTTACAACTTTTCTTTCCTAATTACTCTATGAGTTTCCAGATGTATTATAAATATCATTAGTTCCAAGCGAATAGACACACAAGAATTTTCTTTAGAAATTCTCTCTACTAAGGCTTTACGCCTAGCTCTTTACGTGAGGCTTCAAGTCCGAAGCCGGTTCGATCGTCTGGGTGCTTGCATAGTCAGCCCGGTCGAGCGCATCACGCTGCGTCAGTAACTGAACGTCATTGTTGCTGGTGGTTTTTGTCGATCCACGTAACTATACAATTAGGCAATTATTGGAGCCCGGATCTCCTACCCACAAGAACTCTGCCCACGTCTACCCACATAACATCGTAGGATTCGAAGCCATACATGGTGAACATCTCATCCTCCTACATACTATTATGCATGGGGAGATATTCTCAAATTTTCATGGAGGTAGTGTGTTGTGGGTAGAGTTTTTGTGGGCAGGAGATCCAGAGTCCAATTATTGACTAAGAATTATACTTAATTCGTGATCTTAATAATGCTTAGTTGGGCAGGCTTATAGAGGGGACGGTGGAGTAAGGGGAGTTTGTCCTAAATGTGGCCCTACTCATGTCATGACTATACATGTTTATGTGAGATTAAATAATGTCACCCTTGGCTGAATCCTGATATGGTGGGAAATTTTGTCCTTTCTAGTGGTCTTTATGTTTTGATCTGGTGGTGTTAAATTCACATGTTGGATCCCTATTTTGCATGCTTTTTCTTTGGATCCATCATATGCTCAATTTCAACAAAAATAAGCTCTTTTGGAAAAGAGAGTAATAGGGAGGTCAACTCTTGAACAGGGTTGCCCTTGAGTACTGATTAATTTAGAATACTTGAATACCATAGTAAAAACTATTATCCTCATGGTTTCCTTGGGCATACACAAAGATTCATGAAACTTGCTTCTGAGCTAAATGAACAATTATACTTCCAAATTACCCAAAATGGTCATTGGTTTTCTTCCAAAAGCCTTGGAATATGTCAGCTAGTTTGGCACAACATTTTTATCATAAAAAAGAATTATTGAAATGAGGAATTATACTCTAAAAAGAATTATTGAATGAGAAATTATGCTCTCTGGCGAATATCATTTTAAATTGTATGCTGTATTCCTATGTTCTTAATATATAGAGAAAGCAGAACACCAAACCAACTAAACAATATTTTTACTGTCTTGAATTGTCTTAGAAAGACCTATAAAAAGATGTAAAGTAGAAGGATCCTGATAATCAATCAAAAAAGAAATAAAAAGGAATAATGAGTATAGAAAATACTTTTTAAGATAAAATTACAGCATGGTGATTGTTATGCAAAGAATGAAATACAATAGAGCCCTTCAAAAAAAAAAAAAAGAAAGAAATGTAATGCAGCATGCAGGATATAATGAGGGCAAACTGAATTTCAATGTGGTAGGACTTTACTATTGGTTCATCCTTAGCATTTTTCTCCAATGAGATCTAAATGCAGTGATATATATTTGTTTCTTTTCTTTTCTTTTCTTTTTTTTTTTTTTTTGAGAAAGAGGTAAGGTATCATATTCATTGCTTCAAAAACATAAACAAGCCCTGCACAATAAGACACTGCATGAGCCACTACATTTTATATTCTGTATGCATAGATACAAAAAAGTATATTGAAATAAAAAAAGAACTATATGACCTGTTTCTGAAATACTTGTGAGCCTTTATCCATGAATACATCTGCCCCATAAACCTTCCAAAAAGCCTTCTATTTCTCTCTGTCCATAATTCCCAGACCACTACTACAGGTACCACTCCCCATATAACCTTTCCTTCTTTGGATAAACCATTAAGTGCCAAATGCCAACCCTATAGCAAAGCCTCCCGTCCCAGTGGCTTTACCCATTTACTCCTTGCAAACCTGCAGTGTATAAGAAGATGTTCTAACTCTTCTAAGGCTTCACCACACATTACACACCTACTGGGTTCCACCCTCATCCCTCTCCTAGCCAATGCATCCACTGTTAGGCACTTCCCCAAAGTTGTAGTGTATAAGGACTTAATTGTGAATCTGCCTGATTTTTCCCATACGCAAATTCTGCCGTCTCTCTTTGACCTCTCAGCTGTGATTCAGTTCCAACCACTGTTCTACCTCCCAATCATTCAGATTTCTTCTTAATGTGATCCATGCATCTTGGATGTGATCTATGTATATTTTCTGAGAATACCTATGAAGGTACTGAGCCTAGGGAACACATAAAGCATTAATATTGCTATGAGTCCATGCTAATATCCAAACAAAGGGAACTAATCTTGTGAGTGTGGTGAAGCTCTTACCTCTTAACTTTCATTCTTATTGGGATTCTTATCCCTGGTTATTGTTTTATCCTACTTGTTCAACATCATTTACTGATAACTATTTGTGTTGCGGATATAATGTTGCTATGATATATGCAATGATAACTCCTGGTTAATTGTTGCTGTTGCTGTTGTTTGTTTGTTTCAAGTCTTGTTGTATTATAAGAGCTGCGGAGCATTGTTTCAGAGACATGCCAATATTATGTTATTCACATTCTTTTTCTAAAAATATTAATTTCTATCTCAAAGTGTCAAATGAACGATAATAGAGAACCAGGTTTAGGATTGCAACATTTGAATGGATTTTTAGTTCTTACCCATGTTGTATCCAGGTCAGGGCCGTTAGGCACTTGATGTGCCAATGATAAAATTGATGAAACTGGGTTCTTTATTTTAGGGAATTGATACATGAGATATAGGATGCTTTAGGGGTATGTTAGGAGGAATGGAATGTAAGTATTTACAATAGATCACTTTCTACCTTCATATTTCATGCTGTCACCACATTATGGATAGGGGTGCAACTTGGGTGGGTTGTTCCAGGTTTATACATTGATATGTAGCTTTGTCAAGTTACTTAAGTCTCTTGTATCTTGTACTAGTTAAAATATCTTTGTCCTATCCATATAAATATGGCTAGTAAATCTGCATTTTACCAATTTATGGTATGAATTATGAAATGTTTCATGATTAGTCATTCTTGATCAAGTTTCCAAATTATCCTTCTTATTTTTTTAGGTATCACATTATGCACATTGTTATGGTTGTGCCTTGAATTTTTTATTGTGACCCACTTCATGAACCCGCTTCGAATTAAGTTGAGAAAACCCAAAGGCAAAATTTCATAGTTGTTTATGGGTCCAAACCAAATATAAAGAGTTTTGTATTTTGAGGGTTTTCTCTCTTGTATACTTGGGTCTTTGTCTTGTGAGAGAAGTCGAGAGACTTTGGGTGTATTTGGGGTTTAGGGTTTTCTGTGAGTGAGGTTGTGTGTGCAAAGCTCTGTATTCTTCTCCATTGCTGATTTCATAGTGGATTTTTGCTCCTCCTTCGCCCATGGGCATAGGCTATAAGCCGAACCACGTAAATCTGTGTGTCCTCTTTGTTTACTTCTCTTTATCTCTGTTTTTCTTTCAATTTTGGGTGCCATTTGAATCTGCATTTCTGGGTTTGGCACAACACATTTATGCAGTGATCATTGTATCTAACATTGAGAATAATGTGTACTGATTTCTTAATTTGCATTGATAGACATTCAATGTAAATGTAAAAGATGTTGGTGAAACCCCTTCATGGTGTTTAAGCTAGTTCTTAGGCATTGTTTGTTTTTTAGAATGTCACTTACTTGGGTAATGCACTTACCTAGGAAACATCACCCAGGTAAGTTTACCTACCCATGTTCTTTTAATTCCTAGGTAAGTTATATAATGACTTTTTTACCCATAAAAAGTCAATGTTAAAATGGGCAAACTTGTCTCATTATGTTTTGTAAACTTTCCCCTAGGTGGGAAAGTTAATTACCCACTTAAGAGATGGGTGTCACTTACTAGTGATACCCAGGGAAGCTAACTTTACCATGGGGCACAGAGCATACCGAAAAAAGAACACTGTAACTTTCCCATTGACCAACTTTCCCCCCTCCTATTTCCGGAAAAACGAACGGGGCCTTAATGTTTAGATGTCCATGATATAAGTAGTTTTAGAAGTTTATTATTATTTTTTTCTTGGTACTTGTTCAATCTATGCAGATGAGGGTAGAGTAATGGAATGTGGGCTGAAGACTATGTGGAGGAGCCCCAATGGCACAAAAAAAAAAATATTGAATGGTTTGTATTACACCACTCTTCTCTCGTATCGTTTTCATTTTTTGGGAATGAATGAGGAATTCTATATTAAGAAGAAATGATAAGGTACACTCCCTCAATGGAGAAAAAAACTGAACTAATAAGGCCCACCTAGTGACATTGTTATTTGAGGACCCAGAGTTCTACTCATGAAGGGCAGTTCGCCAATAACTTATCAAAAAAAAAAGGGCAGTTCTCCAATACAACATATTCTGATTTATCCATCCATCAAAACCCTTGCTTTATAAGCCATCACCTGGTCTTCTAACCTATCTGAATGAGGTGTTTGGCTTCTTCTCTTGTATATATGGCAAAGGCTCCACTTAAATATCTTGTTTGTTATGTATTTATGTGGTCATATCATTTATTTTTCCGTGTTTTTATTTTCATATGCAACGGTATGTACTTGTATTGGAGATGTATGCTGTTGAATAAGAATGGTGTATTATATAGTTGAACATTTGGAAACAGCCTCTTTGTATGTGCAGGGGTAAGACTGTGTACATCTGTCTCTCCCCAGAGTCTGCATTGGTGGGAGCCTCATGCACCGGGCTGCCCTTTATTATATAGTTGAACACCCTTAAAACACCTTTGAAATATTTCAAACATTTGTCCTGTCCTAAGTGTCATTTTTATTTGTTACAAGATTTGGTTCTCTAGGCTTGATGACATCTATGTTGGTTTGTATCAAAATCATCATTCTCTCCATGGTTCCCATTTGCCTTTTATTTTAAACTTTATGTGAATATGACTATCTCCTTCCTTCTTACAAATGATGTTGTGCAGTTATCCTCTGATGGTAGGTGAAGCTGCTCATGGGATTGTAACTTGGCATTATTGTTTGTATCAGTGGGGACAAGAAACTAGTATAAACAGTACCTTCCATCTTTGCATGGACATAAGCTTGTGTACAGGTAATTTCTGATGTTTGTTCTTGTTGTATCCCATCTTCTACTTTTGACTGGTCCGTTACTCTCTCATGAGACAACAATTGCTTACATTAAATCAAATTAGTAGTTGCGTAATTGGTCTGACATGCACGTGTTGCTATATGTATATTCAATTCTAGAATGAAAATTATGTTTTAAATTGTTTTCTTGTTAGACCAATTTCCAATGATACAGATCAGAGATTAAAAATCTGGAACTTGGTTGATTATTTATTTTTATATTCAGAAAAATTTTCTTGATCTTCTTTAAACAGGTTGATCTGCATTAGTTTTATTCAGAATTTGGATATATGTAATTGACAGTAATTGGACTTCAGTACCTTGGTTAATATGCCCTTAGATTTGTTCGAAGTATTTATTTCAGTGTTTAAAATATTTTGCAGGGTCAAACTTGATAAACAACAGATATTGTTGGATTTTATTTCTAAGCTAGATAGAACGTGCATTGAGACAGTGGAAACAGGGAAAGTGACCAAAGATCTTGCCTTTCTTATACATGGACCCAAGTATCACCCTTTTGCTAATGCATGTTCTTTTGTGATTTCTCTTTTACCTCATTGATTTATGAACTTGGGCGATACTTTTTTTTTCTGTTTCTTCTCACTTAATCCATGGAAAGCAGGACTGCTATGTAATGTTCCTGTCTTTTTCATTTAAAAAATATCTTTCTGACATATTAAAAGACTGACTTCTCTTTGAAATGAGTAATTTGTTTTATGCTCATGAGTCATGACTTAACAAAATTAGATAAAAAGAATACCACTAAGTTCATGAAAAACCAGTCTTCATTCTTCAAACTGATTCCTTAATTTTCATGATAAAACTTTTGAATATCTCAAACCGGCCAAATGAAGTGCTATGTCATTCAAGATGCACAGCAGCGCAAGCAGCAAAGGCTACACTGTTTTCTCCTGATAAAAACAAACTGCTTAACAAACGTTTTATAAATTGTCATTTTTTTCTTATTTTCTGTCTAGCTAAACACAGCCTAAAGGCAAGGTTCAAAATATGGAAATATATTGGTGCATATCGTATGATACATATCATTTTTCAGGGTCACTTATATGTTTTATATTAAGATTTCAGTTATTTTGATTGTTTTAAATGATAGCATATGGCATGACATTTGGACTGATAAAGTCAGAACTAAAAACAAAAGAGTTTTTGTTTGATTGAAGCTCTGGATATGCAAATTGAAATTGATAACCTGAACCGGCCATTGAAATTGTAATCCGGATCTCCTACACTTAATGAAATTGTAGGAGCAACGTTATAAATGATCAGTTTGAAGAAGGAACTAGGAAGATTCAAAACTTTGATCCTGAACTGGCCATTGAAAGTTGAACAGAATAGGAATAGAGACGATCAATTGAATATAGTTGAAGTTTCAGGATCAAAATTGATGTAACCGTTTTTGGTCACATACCAATTTTTTTTGTGATGTACTGACTTTTTAGCTAAGTACCTCGTCAATTGACCTGCTCCCAGGTGGCCTGTGACTCAGAGGATGATGGAGCTCCCTGGTGGCGAACTGCCTGGTGATGAGCTACTTGTTGGCGAACTCCCTGGTGGTGATCTATCTGGTGACGAGCTCCCTAGTGGAGAGCTACCTGGTGACGAGCTCCCTTTGCATGAGGTGATCTCCTCTCCTTTGCCGGTGGCGGGAGCTGAAGGACCTGCGAGAACTGAATCAGAGGACCCGGGGGTATTTTCCCGGCGGAGACTCTCCGATGCCTAAGTTAGCATTCTGATTGTAGGGAGCTTGGAGAGAAATGAGAGAGATAGAGAGCAAGGATTACCTCCATTTTTTCATTCTCTCTCCCTTGTCTTTGGGGGTCGGAGTCCTTATATAGTGTTGTCCTGTCAAATCAGGCATAACAGCCTCTGTCAAGTCAGGCGTAACCGCCTCTGTCTCTCTACCACAGTCGTTACTGTCAGAGATGAGGTGGCGGGTGCAGGCGGCTGCTACAGAGTACGGCTCTGCCAGTCAAGGGACAACTCTCAGGACTGGCAGGCACGACGCCGCCTAGCGAGAGACGTGGGCGCGGGTCTCTGGATCTGTCAGGTACAGTTGTCAGGCAGGAGATCTTCCTGCGATACTCCGAGCTGCCCCTAAGTGCCGAATTGCCTGTAAGTGTCGAGCTGCCCCTAAGTAACGAGCTCTTCGTAAGACGCCAGGCTGCCTAAGCCGAGCTACCTGTAAGTGCCGAGCTGCCCCTAAGTGGCGAGCTCTTCGTAAGATGCCAGGCTGACTGCGGAGTGGCCAACTGCCTATGCCGAACTGCCCAAGCTGCCCAGTCGTCAAGAGGCTGCACTTGGTTTGCATGAAGTGTCAGATGTCACAATTTCACTGGAGGGCCAAATCCGCCCTCATAAAAAATCACTCTTGTAAATTTTCTTTGAAACTTTAAGCTGAGTTTGGAAAGAGTACAAATGCAAATATGTAGAGTGCAAAATCTTATATTTTGTATTATTTTGTATGCATTTACGCCGCTGTACATATTTGCATTTGTGCTCTTTCCAAACTGAGCGTTAATAAAAAAACCCAGGAGGGTAAATGGAACAAGAATAATTTCAGAAAACGTTTTACAAGTCTTGCAATTTTGCAAATACCAATTCTCACTGCACAGCGCTAACAATAAGAAACCGGGTTACTTAGAAGATACGGTATGGCTTCCCTATAGTACTCTTCAGGTACAAGCACCTCACATTTTGACAATTCTTCTTCAACAATGACACAAGTTGGCACTAATGTTGGGAACTCCACATTGGTGAGTCCCCATAGTACTCTTCAGGGACACCAACATTTTGGAATATTTGCTTCTCCTCCATTGAGCAACTCCCATGCAAGGAACCTTCTTGTTGGAACTTCCCCATGGCTTTAGTTTCATTAACTTTTGGCTCCAAGCTTTCCTGGTGAGTCACCAATGTTGGGAACTTTCCTGCCTTGTTGAGACCAGGGCCAAGAAGACGAGGGGTCTGCTTAATAATGGCTTCAGATGCAAGAAAAGCATGGTATTTCTTTGCAAGCTTCTTGACCAATTTCTTGTTTTTGTCGAGTTTTTTTAAGCCCCACTGCATCCATATACTCCAATCCAATTTTCTCTTCATCTTAGGACGAGGAATGTGTGGCAGCTTGATAGAACCGCTGAAACGCTTGTCCTTCTGAGGGTCATGGTTCTTCAAAGTTCAATGGTCTCCACAAAGTTAGTTTTTTCTCCTTGGCATCTGACATGATACCAGAGATGGCCTCTCTCAATGTATCACTCTGAAGTTTACTCATGGTTAATATCTATGCTTTGAGGAGTTCCTAAGAGATCACTCTCTCAATCTAAGCGGCAGAAATCAAAACCCTAAATTAGGGTTTTCATAATTTTTTATAGATTTGTACAGTGGGAACTGGGGAATAGTGACAAGTGGAGGAATCTATCATAATACAAGGAACACCCTACCATAGTTTGGGCTTTGGGGTTTTAGAACAATAATTTGTGAGAACAAACCATAAAAAGTTACCATACACTTGACTGCAAGGCATTAGGAACTAAAGTCATGAATTAATGATCTGATCAGCTTTATCAATTCGATCAGTAACCTGAGCTGGTCATTGAAAGTTATCGTTCAGGATCAAACTGATCAGTTTGACGACTTTTCTTTCCCTGCCAAGGATTTATTTTGGTTTTAAGAAGAGAATGGATGGCTTTTCTCAGTAAGTGATTTGTCGCCTCCAACTCTGTTATTTATCCATGTTAGACAGCTCACAGCTGTTAGGAACTTAGGGACTTGTTGGAGTTTGGTGTCAGAAGAATGTTTTGTAACCAGCTGTGCAAAGGTTTGGCAAACAGAAGTAACTGAACTAAAGTCTAAAGCTAATGGCTTACGGCATTTGTTCACGGAGGTTCATACTTTGTCAATTTTTCTTTCAATTTTCACTTCCCAATCCCCATTTCTTTCTTTAGGGGTGTCATTTTTATCCCAGCCCAGAATTTTTTATGGGCTTGGGCCTAGGTTTCATTGGTCAAACTCAAGTAGGAGATCAGGATTGGCCCATTATGCCTCTAGACTTTTAGGCTATGTTTGGTTTGAAGGAAAAGGTAGGGAAAGGAAGGGAAAGGAAATGCAGAGAAATCTATACAAGATTAGTAAAGGTTTCCTTTCTTTCCTTTCTTTTCTTTTCCCTACTTTTTCATTCAAACCAAACATAACCTTAGAGTAACGGTACTTGTTTGAATCAGATTGCAACGAGATGTTAAACAGTATGAAACTTAAAACATTTAAATCTAACTTTATTGATCATACAATATACATTTAAAATATTTATGGATATACATATTTAAATGGAACCGAATGGGGATATTATTAGATGAGATAGGGGTGGATCCAAATTTGATCCGATTATAATCGGATCAAATATAAATGAGATAGAATTTGAATTCGAATTCAGACAATTGGATACCATTTGCTTAAGACCCTTAAAAGAGAATGCTGGATGGAATATTTAAATTCTGATTTGATAATACATAGGTCCCATTTCCCAGGGAAACAGAATCGACATGCCATGGACGAAGTGTGTAAATGGTACAAAATAATTGGTTTCACTGCATGCCGGACCCGTTCTTAGCGACCTCGGATTGTAGATTGTCTCCTTAAGAAACCAAACCACATGATGATAAGCTTACAGGTGTGAAACATGATCCAACTTTAAATTCTGGCCTCTCAAAATGGTTGGTGTCTGCTAGTGTAGAACAATGTCATCTTACGATAACCAAGCCAATGTCCAGGCGTCCAAAGTTGTCTGGTATGTAGGATTTATATTATGGCTATTAGGAAAAGGAAAACCACATATCTCTCTCCCTCCCTTAGTAGTAGACACTAGACAGTCCCGAGTCCTTACAAAACCAAGAAAAAGCTCCCCCAGGCTGTTAATGGAGACACCCATTAAATTCAAGGCAACCTTCCGAAAGCACGGAGAAGAGGAATTTATTACTTGTCCGCCACAAATCGCAAGAGCACATGATTGGGGGGGGTGCAGTCTGCAGTGGCCAGTGGGGTCGGAACTCGGAACTCGGAACTCGGAAGATAGAATGCTGGTTGATGTGTGGGCTTCCTTTAACCACAATTCCTGTCATTGTCATTTTTTTGTAGCTCAGCCCACTGCCAGAGTGCCAGTGTCATACATTTCTTGGTAAAGAATTGGGCCCACAAGAGGTTTTCAAGGAATAGCTAGACAATACACCACCAGCCCATGGATCTGTGCTGGTCCAAACTAGTACTTCCCTGCAGAGCTGTATACAACTACCATATTGTTTTTCTTTTTTGTTTGATTTTTTGCCAATTGATTTTCTGGAACGTGACCACACACCCTTGTATTATGTTTCTGATTTTCAACCATGTGCAGGCCAGGGCACATGTCAAGCTTCAAGCCTTCAACCATGTGCATCTCCCAAAGTATTACTGTATCTACTCTTTCATTTCAAGGGTTTGAAATTGAAACATATGGAGATGCATGGCAGATGTTTGCTGAAACTGCTCTGAGAAGTACGTAATTTATTCTTATTTTACCACTACCTACTTGGATGAGGAGCTGTGAGACTTCCCAAGTTCCCATCTCTCTCTGTGCACAGAGTGGATCATACAGTCTGGAAAGCAGCAGCTACATAGTCTTCCCCACTTAATAGAACTCTCTCTCTCGTTTGGACGGATTCTATGATAGATGTAGATCAGTAGATGTGAGTGGCGACATTGAGAGTTAAAACTGAAGTGAAACAGGGAAAGCGAGAAAAAATATGAAAACTAATCCTGTAGTATCTGAATATCACAAGACGACAAGCTTATCATGCAGTGAGCCCCGGCAACAAGGGATGTCTTTTTGCGACCGTTAGATGCGCGGTGCTCCAACAATTCACCAGTCTCTAGATTAATTAATTAATATTAATATACAAAATAAAAAAAAAAAGAAAAAGAAAAAGGGGTGGGTGGATGACTGACTGGATGGTAGTACCACCATCAGCTAGAACTAGTATCCTCTGATTAAAATAATAATAAGATAATATTTTTTGTTGAAAGGAAAAAAAAATATTAAATTGTTCGACATTGTGGGACAGATAAAAAACTGGCTTCGAACAGTTATGGTTTGCCCTCTTGGGTCTCTCAATGAATCCATTAATAAACTATAACGAAGATCATGGCGTCTGATATTTGGGTCATGGCTCTGTTCTATCTTAAAATTTCATAAGAAATACTTAATTATGGTTATTACGACTAAACAAGCCACTTAATTTATTACAGAAATATAGCACCTAATGGCTTCAAGCCTTCAATGATGCAGATTGCGGTTGGAATGAATACTCTGGTTATGAGCTTTACCATCCCCTTATGCTGGAGAATCAAATGGTGGGTATAATTTTTTAATTAGCTTTGATTATTTATTTATTTTTTTTTGTAAGAATCTTGATTAGTTTTGGGTTTATATATCAAAAGTATCCAAATAGTTTAGATTAACAATGTAATGAGTAAACCCCACGGATGTTGTTTTAATGTATGGAGATTTTTATCTTACATGTCTTTCTCACGCTTCATGAAGGGAGTGTTTGTGCTTTCTCTAGAAGTCTAGAGTCATGACCACCACAGTCTGCAATCATGTTCAACGATGGTGACCAATGGTGATAGAATTGTTGACAAAAGGGAGAATAACGGCAAAAATGTTAACGTTAGGTTGACAAGTGGTGCCATTTCCTTGTTCACAATCAACTGGTAGTGGTTTAAGTTTCTTATCAATAGAAAATAATTTCAAAATTTTACTATGAGAAAGCTATCTGTTGTAATTTGATGATTCTAGAAGAATTAAGGAAAGGCTAGAGTTAGAAAGATTTGAAATCCGATAGCAGTAAGAGTTGATTTGAGAGACTTTTGTTCCCTAACAATATTCTCTGCCAAATTGTGAAACAGGGAAATGGAAATAACTTGTTTGGTTCCAAATTCCAATAAGCGATGTGGAAACAGGACTACAGGAGGGGAAGGGAATCCCCAGAAAACCTGGACATGGAAATGCCTCGTGAGGTGCTTCCTGGAAACATAAAAGGGACCCATTTTCTGTTCACGAGAAGCTTTACAGCCACCCCTCCCTAGTCTGTAAGGCTAAGCAGCAGTGCCCACTTCTCCCCAGTACGCACCTTCACCAAAATCCAATAATGAAATAAACAACAAGTCGAATCCCTAACTTGTTTTGGTTTCTCTGTTAATGTTTTTCAACAACTCGACAAACCCCTTTACTTGTTTATTTATTATTATTATTATTGATGTTGGTAATGCATGCTGCCATTTGATCCTGAATTCCTGAGTTCATGATTCCGGGGTGTGGGCTGTAAAGCCCTAAGATGAGCTCCAATCCAATGGATGACCCACGAGCCATGAGCCATGGGCCACGCCTATCATATTGAATCCCCAATCACAGTCAGTCGGTCAGTTTCCACCATGAAGTGAAGTGATGAACCCAATTGGGTTCCAGGGCTTACTTTTTGACCATCTCATCCACTAATTTCTTGTTTTATGAACGTTTGAGCAGCCAGTTATATATTTTCTTGCAATAAATTCAATTTTTGCCCGTTGTGTTCCTTTTTAACTTGTTACATCAATTTCCTTTTTTACATCTACGACCAAAAAACCTGTTTGATATGTCCGTTGGTGCAAAAATGCAAAATACGATAGAGTCTCCTCAAGCTTTCAACCGTATGAGATGGCAAATTGAAAAGTGAAATATAAGAATATATGTATATATATTTTTTAATTGAGAAAAATCTATAATGCCCGAAAGACATGATACCAGTTTTTATCAATCATAAACCCATGCAACGTTTAAAATATCAATACGCCTGATACGTCAGTATTTAGTAGGGGTGTATTGAGCAAATCGATATTGCCTTTTATACCTATCGGCCGATACGTGTCGATACTTTGAACTTTGCTCTCCATGAATTTTGATTAAAACCTATCTGATTGGTTATCATTCTTATGATGTGGGTTGACTGGTTGTAAACTTTTCTAATATCATGTTTATGGGTGTTCATGGTCCAAGTTGGGGTAGTTTAGAGAAGATCTCAGACCAAATCAATAAATTACGGTTTGAGAATTCTCAAATCAAATTAAACCCTTTTGACATGGAAATTAAAATAGATCAAACCATTTTATTACGGTTTGGTATGTTTTCTAATACGGTTTAGGGAACTTTGAACCATTATTTGATTCTAATGGACTTAACCCAAATAGCAGTCATGAAAATTAAAACATAAAATTTTTATTTTATTATAACATAAAAGGGTTTATTATGTATTTATGATTTTATACATTCGGTTTAGATATATTGTATTACAATATATATAATATTTATACATATTTATTTATATAATTTTGATTTACGGTTTGGTTTGATTTATAAAATCCAAGAAATCAAACCGAAACCACAAACCGCAATTTAGCAAAATATGAAACTAAAAAAGAACTATTTTCAAGTGTAGACCAAACCAAATTTGATTCGGTTTGGTGGTTTGAACTTTCAACCAAACAATGAACACCCCTAATCATGTCTTTCAGGCATTATAGTCGAACCCAATTGCAACAACTCTTAACCAAAAAAAACTATCTGCAACAAAATCTTAGGGCTTATTCGTTTGCAGTGTTTTGCAAATGGGTTGATATTTTTGCTCCGGGTTTCACACTATTTTGTTTGTTTGTGAGGAGTTAAGAAGGAAATAAAATGATGTGGTTCACCTTTGTATGGAAGAGATTGAAGGCAAGAGAAAGGTTGTTTGTTTGGGAGAGTGACATAAAGAAGTAAAATGATGTGATTCCACTTTATATAAGAGAAAATTGAGGCATGAGAAAGGTGGTGCAAATTTTGTATAAGCTTTTGGGATGATAAATTTGCACTACTTATAATTGCAAACAAGATAAAGGTACAAATTTTGTAAAAGTTAGAAATGCAAATTATGGTTATAAACAAATAAATGCAAATTTGTACTCAGTACAAATTTTCAACCCCATTGAGTTGTTGACATTTACACTGCATACAAAGAACATAAGGCTCAGTTTGGAAGGAGTACAAATACAAATATATAGAATGCAAAATCTTATATTTTATATGTATTTACACAATTACATTGTACATATTCATATTTGTATTCTTTTCAAAATAAGCCTAATACAAATATAGAGTACAAAACTTTTGTATTTTATATTATTTTGTATGTATTTATACAATACATATTTGTATTTATATTCTTTCCGAACCTAGTCTAAATATCAAAAGCTGTAGAATGCCGCATGACCATTCTCTACCCCACGTTCAGGTGGGAATGGGATCTCTTCCTCACACATGGGCACCTCACAGGCACATCCACCATGTATTGGGAACATCTCCCATGAATAATAACTTATAAGTACAGGAGATGTTCCCGATGCATGGTAGGATGTGCGTGTGAGGAGCAGATCTGATCTCGGTCAGGTGCTAAATATGATATGGGGACATCCCTTTTTTGATAAAAAAAAAATTTGACACAGAATCATTTGTTTAAATGGGGGGTCTGAATGTAATAGGCACATTAGGTAAGCACAATGAGTGAGCACTTAATAGCTGTGTGACACATGTTCTAGTTAATGTATCTTTCATCCAAACGTTTTTGTTCCATTAGACAGAAATTATTCATTATTTTATTATCTTTATCAAAATAATTAAAAATAAAAAACAATGAAAAAGGAAAACCCAAACATATTGGAAGTTGAAATTGATTTATGCTTTTCTTTTTTATTATTTTAATAAAAATAATAAAATAATAGATAATTTTTATCTAAAAAACAAAAAAAATTGAATAAAAAGAACGTTAACGAGACATATGTCAACAGATATTTCACTCATTGTGCTTAGGTGACATCACGATAAACTCGTATATTTTACAGTCATTTGCTTGGCCAATGATGGGGTGTGCGGTGTGCCTTTAGAAACTCATTGATTATAGAGAAGTATTTATTACTGAATCTTTTCTTTTTCAGCATGACATCTCTCTCTCTCTTATCTACACAGCAGTGGCCTTGAAAATAATGTCAAGTCTCGTGTGCAATACCCACCACCCCTTCTCTCCGAGTGGTTTTATTACTCTTAATATTTCCGTAATCTCCTGCCCTCTCTTATCATTTATTACCCCGCAATCAATACCCGGGTTTCCCTTTCTCTCCTGGCCTTTTGTTTTACTGTTGAAGCTGTTCAAAATTTCAAACACAACCAGCACAAACTCTGCATTTCCTACCCTGTAAACCGGGGTGCAATCCCCGACAAAAGCTTCAAACCTGAATCTGTGAAATGGGTTTGAACAGATTTTCATGGCTTCTTTTCTTCTCTTTGCCGTTTCTACTACTCTGCCTGGAAATTCATTGTTACAGTTCAGAACTTTCTGTAAATTTCTTAAGCACTCCATTGACATTCTCGCGTCAGTCCTCAGCTACATTTCTATTCCAAGTTCGGAAGGCTTCTAAAGAATACACTTGCAGCAATTGTAGCATCAAATGCAAGGTCATTTGAAGACTTATTTTTTTTCTTTTCTTCTGTTATATCCTTTCTTAGTTTTTCTCACTGCGCGGTTTTCATATATATATTTTTTTCTTTCTAATTTGGTGTTGAAGCGGTTTTCGTTCGGTTGTTTTTTTCTTCTTTTTTTTTTTCCTTTATAGCTTCTTAGTTTTTCTTCTCATGTCAATGCCGTTTTATATATTTGGTTGAGGTTGTAATTGGTGATGCTTTGGCGACAAGTTCTGAAAATAGCACATTCGGTTTATGCGGATGAGGAATAATAAGCTTGGGATTCATTGTCCTTATAACCAAAAAAAAAAAAAAAAGATGCATAAGTCCTTAAAACAGAGTATTTAGTTTATATATATCAGAAGTGATAGGTTTCAGTACTTCACTATAGTAAGTCAGGAAAGTTTAGGAAGTTCAGTTTGTTCTATTCAGATGTAATGTAAGAAAGCATATGCCGATGATACCAGAAGAATTTCGGAAGAACTAACAAAAGATAATATTTTTCTTTTCTCACTTTCTAGAGACAGGATTATGTAGCTAATCCCAAATAGTTGGGATTAAGGCCAAGTTGGGTTGAATTGCTCACTTTCTAGAGAATTGTAGGGAGTATTTGAATTAGGTAACAACAGGTAAAAGTGCTTAAAGCCATTTCATGATGTTCCTATCTTTCAGGTTGGAACTTGGAAGAATTGGGATGGTCAACAAGTTTTAAGTAGTATTACTGTCTTTCTCTCTCTCTCTCTCTCTCTCTCACACACACACACACACACACACACACACTCACTCACTCACTCACTCACTCACTCACTCACTCTTGTTTGAAAGAATGCTTCTTTTTTAGTTTGAGTTTCTTTTCTAATTTGAGTTTCTTTCATTCTATAATGAAAATGGATATTTGATTTGTGTTTGAATCATCATGATGTTATGGTTCATATCAGGCATCTTTTTAAAATTCATCAAGATTATTATACTGTTTTTCTTATTTTACTGTTTTTCCATTTTTTTTTTGTTGTATGACAAGGTTTTATCTAGGTTAATGAATAGACCCCTATGTTTGATTATTTTTGCTACCCCATGACATGAAGATTCTGGCTTGAATACATTATAATAACAAGTTGGTTGAGTTTCCTTCTTTTGGTTTCCATGTTCACTTAATATGATGATCATGCTATTGCAGCTAGATGGCCAAATCTCTTCTGATTGCGAAACCAGGAAGGTTTCTTATATGGCCTTGCATGATGGTAACCACACATTTGAGGTTTGCATCAATGGATCTCAAGGAGTCGGCTGTGCTAGCTATAACTGGACTGTTGGTTAAGAAACTATCCTTTATCCTTTTCTGAGTCTTGTTTATATTTTCTACTGAAAAATTTAGGTTTTGTAAATGGGTCAAATACTCTGTGAAGTGGCATTCAAGTCTCAGAATAAACTTCAACTCACCTTTAAGTTTCATTTTAACTTGGTGAATTGACAAAAAGATAAAAGAAGGCATGATTGTTTAAAGGGTATGAAGGACATAATAGAACATTGAATGAGGCCTAATGGTATACCTTTTGCAGTTTAATTAGATTTAGCTTCTGTTGAATAGGTTGCTAATTTTAGTTATATTTTATTTCTGCAGATACAATCCCGCCTACCGCATATGTTACTGCTTCAACATCTTTTACAAATGCACTAAATGTGTCCATAGATATTTCTTTTAGTGAACCCTGCACTGGTGGAGGTGGTTTTGGGTGCTCATCTGTGAACACCTGCAATGTGAGTAGGTGGCCTAATAAATTTATCAAGCTTCTAAGCACTCATGTTTTACTTTTATTTTTGTTAGGATATACCTTTTAATCGAATTTATGGTTTTGTTAACGTTGTTTTTATAGCAATTTCTTTTTCCTTATAATTTTTTCTTGAGGGAAATATTATATTGTATGGCAAAAAGATGTCTACACAAGAGGATGTACAAACATGCAAATTAGCTAAAAACTACTTGGACAAAGAGTTGCCACTATAACAGAAGCTTTATTTGGCCAGACTACCTGCAATCAATAAGCCAAGTTCAGTTCACTAGAGTGAATATCCACCTAGTTTGAATCTTCATGCCTTGTAGAGTTTCTTGATCCCATTCAATAGTTAGGTCATCTGCAAAAACTGCATTATGAGCTCTATAACTAGTCTATTTTTTTATTTTTTTTGTGGGTACTTGGCAATACAGGACCCCATAAGAAGGATTGTCACTTCACTTTAGCTGTGCCTTTATCTCCCATGGCTCCAGTGGGAGCTCAATACATACTCTAGTTAGCATTATATAACCCTCCCTCCACACATTGCCAGCCGGTCCTCTAACTGACTGAGAACCCACATCAAATCTGAGAAGACTCACCATGGATGGGAGGGGGAAAGGCTGCATGTCAAGTAGGGCCACCGGAAGAGGATGGAAAGATCTGCATGCAATTTGGCAAGTAACCAAAACGCTGAGGAGGAAGAAAACTTGGCCTCTTGAGTTCTAAAAGATGCTTCATTGTTTTGGAAGACCCATCTGTTCTCTTTCCCTATAACTAGAGAAGGCATCTGCTTTGGATGCCACCAGTCAAAGAAGGGAAGATGCTTTTGCAGTCAATAATAATTTTTAATGGGTGTATATGGAAGTAACAATATTTGCAAATTGCAAATAACAACCATCTTTGAGTAGCTTTTAACAATCGATTTTTTGCTTTAGTTTGACAACAGCATTTAAACAACTCTTACAGATACCCTCTTCTTTATATACAGCTGCTTGTTTTTGGTGCTGGGCAAGTTATACCATCCACCCTGAGGATTGTTCAGCCTTACCTCAAATATTCTCTTCTTGTGGGGTTATCATCCAGGGCACAGTATGGACGAGTGATAGTGGTAATGGATAAAGATTTCTGCACAGACAGTACTGGAAACAAGTTTACAAGAAGTTCAAATTCGAGTTCTGTTGTACACTTTGGTGAGTCTCATTTTTTGTTTTCCACATAAGACTATATCAATTTCTTATGGAAATACGAAATTGACTAAAAGTTCATTTTATTACAAATAAAGAAGTAAAAAGCTTTGTTGTATGAAATGTTAAGATGCTTTTATCTTCCTCTAGGATCATTACCGAATGCTGGTCCTGGTTATCCGGGTCTCAGGAGGGGTGGAGTGGATACGAACCTACCTCCAGCATTTTCTTGCACAAAGTGGTTTTTCTCAGATTTGAACCCAAGTTCTCATACTTGTCAACCTGAGTTTTTACCATTGAACCGAGCAATGCTTTTATCATATCATTTTGGAAAATTGTTTGTATGTTTCAACAATACTGACATGTTCATTTGCATCATCAATATCATTTTAAAGTAGGAATGAATGGTCATCAACCCTTCCTAAAATAAACAAAAAAGAAGCATGAATTTTCTGGTTGAAATTAACCCATGTTGGTATATTGGTTGAGAAGTTTGTGTAAATACAAATATTCTTAATCCAAGTTAACACATTTTTCCACTCACTTTATTCTTTTGGTATATTTGCTTCTCCAGATAGAAGAAATGTATTTGTGAACTTGAGGACTCATATCCCAGAAAAGTTACTTGAACTCAACAGTGAAACTAGAACAGTTGAGGCAACTAATAACTTTAAGAACTTGAAGATCTATTTGTACTTCTCAGTACCCGTACTCAACTCATCTTCTGAAATTCTAAGTTCTCTCCACCCAAGTCAGGGATTGCTTCTTCCTACTAATGGAAAGAGCCTTGGGAATCGTCGGTTTGGGTTTCTGGTAAATTATTTTCTTACGAAATTTCTATATTCATGCTTTTAATTATCTTATCCTCATATTAATTCATGACTAATTTGCCAAATCTGGAACCTATCTGTATCTCTTCCCACCCCATACCTGGCCACCACTGATTTCCTTTGCTACCACCTCCAAGGGGTGGATCAAGTTAGGTTAGTCTAAGATAGAATTTTCCAATGCCCTCCATTGATGAGTTGGTTAGTGGATGTAAGCAGTAGCCAAGAAAAAGAACAAGTTGGTTTTGTAAAATATATTCAGCCCTACTCACCATCAGTCCATCACCACTACAATAACACCAGCATCAGTGATGATGCCATTTTTTGTCACAAATTCCTAATTTGAATATTTTTCTTTCAGGTTAGAAATATATCATGTGTTGCTGTTGTTACTATAAGCTTTGACTCGAGCTCTATAATCAGCAGACAAGGAACCCCGGTCTCTCAGATTGCTCCTGTTACTTTTCTTTATGGTACCTTCTATGCTTATTCTTGAGAACTAAGAAACTATTTGGCATGTTTTCCATGAAATTAGGTGAAACACTTGTCAAATACTATCTTGATATTTTACCTTCAGAATAATTAATCAGCTCTTTCCTTGCTAAACAAGGAGGAACATAGGAAACACTTGTTTTGGGAGGTTAATGGCATAGTTGTCAAGGAGTTGCCTAGGTGACTAGGTGCCCTTGGCTGAGTGCCGTGTTTATAGCAACAAAGACACCCTCCTAGGCAACAAAAATGAAAAAGTTGGCACCTTATTATAATATAATTCATCTTGCTACATCTTAATAATATGTGTGTTAAAACATTCTACTATATACTATATATGTATCATCTATACCCGCCTATGGTTGGATAAGGATTGGATGATGATGATATGTATCATTTTTACTTTGTCTTAAAGTTTTACTACTGATATTTAAAAGATCCAAGTCTTTTGAGAAGAGAAAAAGAAAGAAAGAATTGAAATATAAAGAGGTTTCTTTCTCTCTCTCTCTCTCTCTCTTACATTAAATAAAAGAGTGGCTCCACCCTTGTTCTCTTTTACCTTTTAATTACTCTCTATCTTAAAAATTTTATCATATAAAATCATAGCCTTCTTTAGTTTCTAATTTGTTAGTCTTTATTAAATACTTATTATATTAAAATTATTTTGAATGTTTTGAAATTAATATATTTAAAATACCATTGTCCTAGGTATGAGGGTGGACCTTGGCACAGCGGTTGGATTGCTCCATTGCGACCTGGGTGACCAGGGTTCATATCTTCGAAACAGCCTCTCTGTATGTGCAGGGGTAAGGCTGCGTACATCTGTCCCTCCCTAGACCCTGCATTGGTGGGAGCCTCGTGCACTGGGCTGCCCTTTTTTTATTGTCCTGGATATGTTGGTTTTCTATATTTTGAAAGGAATTTTAATGATCTTAATTAGAAGATTTGCTATTTTTTTTTTCAATTAATTTTGCATGTTGAATGGTATATAAAACTAGGAACTAGGCAAAACTTGGTTTCTATGTTTTATGAAATTCTTATCACTTGGTGCCTGCCTAGGTGACTAGGCGCCCCACTGTCACCCAAAATTGCCAAAATGTGTTGACAACTATGGTGAATATTGAAAACAACTCATACAGGCAAGATGCATGGGTAAGAAGTGGGGTTAGGTAGTGTAGGCTAACCTAACAAGTAGGACTCTCTCATATTGTACATATCATTCTTTTACCACAATCGATAAAGTGTTTTCACTATATCAATCAAAATAACTCTATTGTTAATATTTCATGTTGTCATTAGGACATCGTTGATTAATGGTCTTTTCTTCCTATCCTTTGATCCTATCATTTTATTTGTGTATGTTTTGAAGTACCCATATAGTTGGGATAAGTCATGGATAATGATGATGATGATGATGATGTTTTGAAATACCTAATTTTTTTAACCACCCAAGATGTCAGTGTATTTTGAGAATCAGATCAAATCATTGTTCTAACAGCAGATAGCTATTGGGTTGACAATTTTATGAACACTTTATAGAATACTTATTTAATATCTGCTGTCCAGGTATACAGAAACAGATACTTTGGCCATTAGACGGAAAACCAAGGCCTTCTCTGTTTAATTCCTAGAAGCATTTTTATAGGACTATTCATATCTAGAGATAATAAGACATAATCCATCTATAGAAATTAGATTTTGAAGTTCGCTTGTCTTTTCCTGACGCATATATGCATATGAAATACCAGATTCTCAACGTCCTTCTGTGAGATTGAGTACAACATCTAAAATGAGGACGAGAGAACGTACTGTACCTGTAGTAATAAAGTTCATCAAGCCTGTATTTGGTTTCAACTCTTCATCTCTATTGGTTTCAGGAGGGCATTTGCAGAGGCAAGTTTTCCTGCCTTTATTACTTCATTTTCAGTTAGTAGAAGCCAGAAAGTTATGACTATGATATTTGTGTATCTCTGCCAGGCCTTATGATTCTTATGGACTTGAAGAAGTATATTAGAGTAACCTGTAATGAAAACTAGTTTATATCTGAAAATGGAGGTATTATAATAAGAAAATCTAAATCCTAAAAGAATTCATGAAGCTAAAGTACCTCTGAAGGTGTCAAACAGGTGAAGTGAGGTGATAATTTAATAGTAGATTAGGATAATATCCTTTTGCTTGTTTTTCAGAATTTGAAGATTTTTCTTTCCTTCTAATTTTTCTTTAATGTGTTTTCCTACAATGTGGGTCACTTTCTGTTTAATTAGAACTTTTGCCATGTATTTTACATAAATAGGTTCTTGCATGGATATCTGTATTTATCAGCCACCTGAAAACAAGAAAAAAATTGCTGATATTTTTTTCTTTCTTGGCATTAGTGACATAGTTGCATATGATACCAATTTTCTAAGAATAAATGGGCAACATAGTCTTTTTAATGCTGTGGCCCAGGAATCAATGCTCTTTGAAGTTGACTCTTTACATTCTGATACATTTTATAACATTGTGCAGCTTTCTTGAAATTAGTAGGAGCATATACACTGCAGACATAAATGCTGATGATAAGATAGTATCAATCAATGTTCCAGAAAACATAACTGGAGATGTTGCTGGAAACAAAAATCTAGCATCCAATGTTCTACAAGTGAGGCATTGTAAGGATTCATAGTTTGTTGCCTTAGCGTTATTTTAATTTATTGCTAAGATTAGTAAGAGTATGTAAAGGAGCAGGCCACACCTCTTGAAATTTATATTTACCATATTTGAACTTTGTATCCAGAAAAGGATGGATTTGGGTTTGTCTATTTGGATGCTTTCTTGTCCAAAGTAGGTTGCCATCATGCTACATACACACTTCTACTGAGGACCAGGTCGGGATTTGATCTGAATTCAAATCCAATATTGAAATGCATTTGATATGAGTCCGAACCTTGAACTGGGCTGGATACATGTGCAGACTTGTAAATGTGTGCTTTTGGATCTGGACAAAGTCCAATTGCATCTGTTTAACCCCAACCTTGTTTTATGTCCAAGGTTGGCCCAAGTTAGGTGTTCTCAGGATATTTTTGAATAGCATGTGGTATCCTCTTCACGCTTTAAATGCATTTTGATCATAGTTCCATTTGCATTTTAAGTCAGCATCTTCTATTGGTTTTTCTTTCTTTCTTTATATTTGTGATAATATGCGTCTGAGTTTTTCTTTCTTTTTTTTTGGTCTTTTGCAGATTCTATCCCTATTATATCATCTGTCTTTTCCATCTTTGTAACTGCCACATTTGCAGTAACAGCTTTGGCTGCGGGACTACTTGCTGTTTCAACTGAGAGTCTTCAATCAATGGGAGCATTTTCCAGACCATCTTCTTCTTTGATTTCTGATCCTGCAAGAAATCTTTTTGTATGATACCTAACCTTTCAAATGATTGTCAGTACTGTAGTTAGTAACTTTGATCTAAAACAACTTAGTTTTCAGAGCCATCTTTTTTTTTTTTGATAAGGAATATTGTATTACTCAAAATAAGGGAGAAGCTTCCATCAAACTAATTACAAAAGGGAAGCATCCAAGCCACACATGCCAGAAGAATTTTACGTAGAGTATACTGAGTGTATAAAATATATCCACTAATTACTCATTTACAGAATAAACAAATAGGATCCTCTCCCATTGATTTGTGAATTGTTCCTTTTTCATGCCTGTGAACTCCTTCAGAATACCAGCCCATTCAATCATGCACCTCTCAGTCTTCCTTATCAGTCCTTCTATCTCTGACTCTGATTGATTGAAGACTTTACTATTGCACTCCAGCCAAATGGCCCAACACAGGGCACCAGAAACCAAATGCCATACTATCCTGCCCCTGCTACTAAACACCTTAGAGGACCAAGATGCAATCAGAGATGCCAGATCTCTTGGCATCACCGTAACCACCCTGAACAGCTGCAGGAAACGATGCCATATAGGGTAGGAGACTGGGCACCACAGCTGAAGATGAGATACATCTTCAACCTCTGATTGGAATAGAGCACATTGATTACCAAACCCCTATTGCTTAGGTGGTCTGTTGTAGGAATTCTGTTGAGGATTGCAGACCACAAGAAGATTTTCACCTTCAACGGCCATTTGGCTTTCTGGATCCAGGACCAAGGAACTGGTTCTTTCAAATGGGATCTCATAATTTAAAGAATGATCTGACTGTAAACTTTCTGAGGCTTCCAAGGTCCACCACATACTGTCCTGCATGTAGAAATAAAGCAGCACCTTTCAAATAAATAAAACTTGAAAATGGTAAACCAAGAGAAAGGGAAGAGAAAATGCATGACTTAACATACAAGAGTTATCCATGGATAATCTCTCCTTTTTGAGAAACCACATTCTCAGTCATCTTAAATCTATTTTTTTTTCTGGGAGATTGTTGAAAATGTTCAGAGCTTTCCTGTAATAGCTTCTGCAGATAGAAAATGTGGTTAATCAATTGAAATTCTTCAAACATTGTAATAAGAATTCTTAATATGGTAGAGTTTCTTTTATATGGCGAACATTCTACATAACCAGCTCCTGAGACCTAATAGCAAAATTGGACAAAACTTGTGAGAAGCTATTCTGGATGTTCCTTTGTGCTGAAAATTCAGATCCTTTATGTATTTGGTACATAAGATCCCATGATCAGAATATTGCTTGACAACACAAAATGCTCCTTGATTCCTGTCTAACTGGTTGTGGTTCCTGGAAAGTTTTAAAGACCACTGGGATTTAAACTAAAAATCTTTGACAGATTGACACTTTCAATTAGACAGGTCTAGGTTTAACTCCCCTGCACATTGTGATTCTGTTGTCAAACGTTGGTTCATGACTGTGTGTCAATATGACTCAGATAGGGATTTGAAACAATTTATAAATATTTAGAAGCATCCTTTAGTTTCTTTTGAGATACATATCTCTTCAGATTCAGATGTTTCTTTTTAGATGCTTCTAAAAGATTTTTCTTGTTTTTCTGTGATGCAGAGGATCACATGCCACATTCAGGTATTTGCTCTGTCTAGATGGTTAGCAGTTACCATGCCAATTGAGTATTATGAATTTGCAAGGGCTTTGCAATGGAGTATACCCTATCTCAGTGTCCCATGGGAAACTAGAAATGCTCAGAAAGTTATGATAAATTCAAGCCCCCCTTCCATGACTCATCCAGGAATACCAAAGAATCATAAACTAGGAACTTCTGAGAGTATGATATTAGGCAATGGAAAATTGGAAACGGCTGTTTCCATATTTGGTTTGCCACTCACTCCAATGGAGTACAGATCATTTTTTGAGGTCAGAAAAAGCATTTTACCTTTCCTTCAACTGATTTCATCCATCATTGGCATCAGATAATGACATATTGACATAATGAAGCTTGTACTCGCAGAGCCAAAATATTATACCTGAAGCCGAGCATATCTTGGATTCACAGAGTTCAAATGAGTAAGTGATATGATGCTTCGATAGAAATGGGGAATATAAATGGCAATTCAGGGACAGCCTGGAACTTCCCTCAGAGTTTAAATTTTAAATATATTCTGTCAAAGGGAAATGATGGTTTGGTGGAAGAGAATACTGATTTAGAGCTGATGAAATAGTAAACTGGCCAAACCTAATTGGTGCATTGGTCCTCTGACTGCATTGCTGATTTTTAGTAGTTACCACTATGGTAATTCACTAATTTTTTGATTTGTAACAACATCAAGGAACTTAATTAAATCAATTAGTACAGCCAAGAGAACAATCTCAAAATTAAACTTAAGCTTATCCTCGGTATCTCCCCCATTACACAGGTTTTGACCTAATGTTACACTCGCTTTTAGCCCTGAATGGCTGGTCCTCAATACCAGTCTCCCTTAGTTTTCCATAACAATGACTTATTGTCACTCTCAGGGACCTTTTGGTAATGACTGAAGTGGCTGAATTAAATGACTTATTTCTTTGCCTTGTAGTGGATAAAATAGTCGTATAGTAAGTAACACATATAGCCTATAGGGGAATAATAATCAACCCAATATCCCATTCAGCCATTAATGATCTCACAATCTACTTAATGACTTATTCACTAAAGACAAGACAATAAGTCATTCAGTTCAACCGCCTGAATCATTATCAAATGGTACCTAAGCATATCAAATATTGAGGTCTGCCAGGATTTCTCTGTAGAGGCATAGAACATCATACAACCATCACCATCACCATTGCTATCCTATAAATTTTGTCCTGGCTATTTCAGATCAGCCACTTGAATCCTTTATCCTGCATAAGTCCATTCTACCAAGAATCATACCTTCCATACTACATATGCCTTCAAATATATTATGACAATTTTAATTGACATTCTTTAAATGTTTCAACCTTCTATTTTCTGCTTTTTTTCTTCTGACAAAATAATTAATCCATAGTACTATAGAACAACAAATCTGTTGAATCTTAACCAAATCAAAGTTGGCAGATATCGACTAGAAGCTGGGAAGAGTTTCTTGGTCTCATTGACATACTGGTGAAACCAGGAAATTGTGTGAAATTAAAGGAATAACTGGGGTGATTGGGGAACAAAATTCGGCCAGAGGAGAATTTATCTGTAGTTTAAATGCAGTTTAATGTGTTTGAGTTTGAGATCAAATTAGGGTTTTTGGTTATGAAATTTTAATGGGTAACAACTTAACAAGACCTTGCTCCAACTATATGGGGTTGGCTACATATCCCCGTTTTTCTATTCCATCTCTTATCTATCCTGTAGCAAATTATTAGTCTTTAGATGTTTTCTCATTACATCAACCCATGTCTTTTTTGGCATTCCTTTAGCTTTTTTGTAGTACTAAGTTCGCACCAGATTACTCCTTGTGCAATAAATGCATTTCTTTGTATATGCCCAAAGCATTTAAATCTACCTTTCCATATTTTATTACCTATTGAGGCTGTACTCTGCTTGATAATGACATTGCTACCCTTATAGCCATTTTATAGATCTTTTCAACCTGATTGGTATTTTCTGATAATGCAATACTTCAAGTGCATCTCTCTACTTCATTAACTCCACTCTAGTTCCATCACTTTTCCTTTGAGATTTCCATGAGAAGTAGATAGAAATTAGGGAAACTATGTTTAGAGGTTGAATTGAATTGAATGAAAAAACTTGTTCAGTGGAACTAGAAAAAGAAAGTGGTTGGATGGGATTGAGTTTTTCTAGGATTTCAGTGAATTTTCTGAGAGCATCAACTATGCAAGAATTTCTGGGTGGGTGCTAATTAGGATGAGGAATAGATGCAGGCTTTAAACTTAATGTGGAGTGAGAATCATCTCAAATTTCAGGACTTTAAAGTTGTCAATCAGCTGCAAACATCAACATGACTTGAAATGAAAGATCAATTGCAAGAAGCATAGCAAGGAAAGAGACCTAGTAGGAAAGGGTTTTCTAGGAATCATTCGTAGATGTAGGATGAATTGTACCACCAGGCATTATATCACCAATAAATATCAAATTTTTATTCATGTCCTGTAAACTAAAGCATAACAAATATTTGTCCTCTTCCTTGTGCAGCCAACTCATAATATTAAGCAGGATTACCATTACATTGTGTTAACTACTACTAACATGCAAAACAAACTACCAACTGAAAAATCGGTTTCAGTAACATAAAAATTAGTAGGATTTAAGAAACATACTCCCACTGAAGGATTCCACATGAACGTAATTAAAAGGCAAATATATACATGCAACCGATGTATAGACTTTTGCACATTCTTGCTTCTGTCTGTATTATATGTACCATATTCTACATCACCTACTATCACATAAGTTAAGTTGAAATGAATCACGGTTTTAGTTCATGAACTAGTAAGAATAGCTTTTTGTTTATTTTTTTACAAGTAAACTGGCTTTTTGTGCTGCAGGTGGCAGGAATTCAGCAGAAACATGTTCTGGTTAGGTATGATATGTGGGAGTTTGATTCTGGTTCATGCTTTGGTTCTGTTCATTGTAAGATTCAGGAGAAAATTTTCAGAAAAGCATAGCTGTTATGGAGCACTTACCATTCCAAGATTTGAGATATTCCTGATAATTCTTTCATTGCCTTGTATCTGCCAAGCTTCTGTTCCTCTAATTAAAGGTAACATGAATTAAATCTTCAAATAGTCCTTGTTCCTTTACCTGTCTTATAACCTTCCATATTTTATCCATTCTGTTAAATAAAACATCTGGCTCTTAAACATGATGAGGACCTTAATTGTGCTCTTTTAATACTAGAGAAAAGGAAAATCATTTTTCCTGAAGACCAGAAATGTAGTTTCTGTTTTGGGGCCCTTGCATAGCAGAAAATCAGACTAGCCTGTTGGATGGGTCCCCTCTCCCATTTAAGAGACTGCAGACATAAAAAAGCAGTTTGATAGGATCAGTTGCTTTATGCATCATTTGGGGTCTTGCAAATATTGTGATGGAACCCTTTTCTATACTCTGAATAGTAACAGAAAAAACAAAGTAATTAAGGAGCCTTTGGACTGTTTTATTGGTTCTCAGTTCTGTAGACCAAGTGCTAACCTTTGTTATATGCATCCAATTTGTTGTGGTCACATGAAGTCCAGAAGATCAAGCTTAGTTATTGCAATCAGTTAAAGTGATGAGTGACATTAATCAAAATATTTCTTTTTGGTCTCTTGAGAACAAATGTTTGTTTAACAAGCAAGAGTGACATAATACATTATTGCCTAGAAAATGACCATATTAATAAGTAAATATGATACATTTATAATAAGGTTTGAAACATTTCTTTGCAACTGTGTTCTTGTATGATTATCATTTTGCTCAATTTTAACTGCACATATGTGTACTATATGTCATATAATGTGATAAGTTGTTACTGCAAGCATTATATTTACTCCTATTATGAATATGCTGATTTTGATATCTTTTCCAATTCAAGGAGGAGTTACTTCGGGGGTTATAGTTGGTGTTCTGCTTCTGGGTGTTGTGTCTTTTCTGCTACTATCTCTACTCTTATTTCTTTCAGTGGGAATTACTATGGGTAAGCTACTTCAATATAAGGAGGTTCATCAAGAAGGCCAGAAATTCCATTGGTATCAAGGTATTGTGAGAGTGACCTTGGGTCCTGGTAAAAGAGGTCAATGGTCATGGAAGAACCAGACAAATTCTGTTTATTTAACAATGTTTGGTCCCTTGTTTGAGGATCTAAGAGGCCCTCCAAAATACATGCTTTCACAGATTTCTGGGGGAAACCCCAGAAAGCAGGCAGACAGCATCATTGCCTCTGATGATGAGACAGAAGATGCAGAGGCACCTTTCATCCAGAAGCTCTTTGGCATTCTAAGGATTTACTACACATTACTTGAATCTGTAAGACGGGTCACTCTTGGAATTGTTGCTGGTGCTTACTCTATCAATGTGTCGTCTAAGACTCCAGCATTGATACTATTATGCATCACCTCTTTTCAGCTCTTTTTCCTTGTTCTGAAAAAACCTTTTATAAAGAAAAGGGTTCAGCTAGTAGAGATTCTTGCAGTTGCCAGTGAAGTTGGTATCTTCTCTATTTGTCTTGTTCTCTTAGAGAAGGAATTTTCATACAGGGATGAGAGTAGAGTTGGAATTTTCATGCTTTTGCTATTCCTGGTTGGATTTATTGCACAGTTGATGAATGAATGGTATGCATTGTATAGACAGACACTGCAACTGGACCCTGCCATGAACTCTTTCATATCAGGCCTGAAAACAGCTTCTGTTGGATTGCTGTTGATTTTGATCCCATCAAATCAGATAAAGAACCTCGACAATGGGTTCCCATTGAACCAATCTGGGGATGGAGAGATGGGCGATACTGTCTCATCTGCTGACCGGCATAGGAGTTCTGGTAGCAGGAGCTCAGGTACCACAGATAGACCATGGCTGAAACAACTAAGAGAACTGGCAAAAGCAAGCTTTAGTAGGGAAGACAGTGGAGCTCCAAAAGATCCTTCAAGCAGTAAGAGTGGGTTTTGGGCTGGAAATAGGAGTGGGAGCTCATCAGTAACTTCATCAGCAGATTTCAAGTCGAGACCAAGAGGATTATATAGAGATTTAGAAGCCATTTTTTCGTCCAAGTGAATTTTAAACAGTTACATGGAACAGTAGAGGACCCAAGTGTATGAAGAGGTATTTGTACAGGCTTTCATCAGATGAACCATAACTGATATGCTTCTATTAAGTCAAGATGGTTTTTGGGTTCGATGGTTGATGGGAGAGTATAGTTCTTAGCTTTTGTTTATATTCAAACTTTTTTCTTTTTTTTTTTCTCTTTTGTATGCATATGAAATTCTTAGAAATAAAAGATGGCTAAATGAAGCTGTTATGTAGATCTGTGACTTTATAAGTTGTAGAGGATTGGAGGTCCAATGTACCTAAAACCAACCATTTGATGTAAAGCTTTAAGGTTATTGACATTTTAGCACCTCCCTGCTCAAAATGGAGACCCAAAATTTAAAAGAAAAGGAAAACATGGAACTGGAAAAATGGAGGACACTTTTTTTAATGGAAACTAAGAACTTGCATGAGAGGATCAACTGAACTAGACAGTCAAACGAGCGGATTTGCAAAAGTGGCATTGACGAGCATAAGCCAATGACCCCCTTCGATGTCCGAAGAGAATGATTTCTCTTCACTTCTGTTTGGAGTTTCAGTCTTTGGAGATTGGAATTTGGATGCTCATCGAGTATACACAGTCATTCATCTTAGTCTGCCCAGAATCTGATGAGTTTTAACTCTTTTAATTTCTTTTCCCTACATGTAAGATGACATATAACAATAATTACTACAGCTCAGATTGGAAGGAGTACAGATGCAATATGTAGAGTGCAAAATCTTGTATTTTGTATGTATTTGTATTATACATATTTGTATTTGTACTCTTTTCCCCCCGATTTTGAAATAAATCCCCGTCCCCGACCTCAATCCCCATGGGGATTTGAATCACAGAAATTTTAAAGCTAATAGTATTTTTGAAAAATAAATTTATTTAAAATAAATAAAAATTTATATATACATATATAATCGGGGTGGGGACCTCATTCCCCATCCCCGACCCCATCGGGTCAGGGAAGTTGGGTACCCGCTGGGGATGGAGAAAATTGCCATCTCTAGTGCAATGGCCCCATTTTGGTTCCATTCTGCTCATGTTGAGCTAAGGGCATCAATGGACCAGTTTTGCATTAGACCCGTTCAAATCAAAATCAATGTGGATGAATTAGACGGACCAATAAGATACATTGGATTGGACTAGTCCAGACTTAATGGTCCCAAGTATTTATTGGATTGGATTGAACCCAGGTCATTCATATATTGGATTGGGTTGAATTGAACCATTATCCAATTCATTGATAGAAGATAAGAATACAGATGTCAATGGACCAGGTTTGGATTGGAACCATTCTAAATTAAAACCAATTTGAACAAATTGGATGGTCCAGACATTGAATTGGACTGGTCCAAAATGCTCCAAAGTATTTATCAATTGAGTTCAGACCTGCTCCTCACAGGGCACTTTTCACACCGACCTCACAACACGTCCTAATCGCACATTAGGAACATTTCCTGTACTTATATTTATTATTCATGGAGAAATGTTCCTAATAAACGGTGGGATGTAGCTGTGAATTTAGTGTGAAGAACACTGTGAGGAGCAAATCCCAATTCTCATCAGATTGGACTGAACCTGGTCCATCACTAATGGACGATCCTGCGTCAAGCTATATCACTTTGTATCATGATTTTATGGCCATACATACGGAGTTATGGACCAATACACAAAACCTACGTAATAGACCTTCAAAAAAACAAAAAAAAACTACGTAATTCAAAATTTGAATTTTAAACTCTAATCCAGCCACATAATTTAAATTTTAAATTCTCCTTAATTATCTTACTTAAAAGACTACTAATACTATTTAACCCTTTATCCATATTTAAATCATAGTAATGCTTACTAATTAAAGCTATTAACTACTATTTTTCTTATATTTGAAATTTTATAAAAAAAAAGTATATGTTAATGCTTTTGGCAAGGATTGAACTTCTCGGATGATGGGTAAGAATCCTTATTACATTAAAACGTAAGATGAGTTTTAAGTTTTGAATCTTTTGAGCCATCTTTTATGAATACTTTCTTATTAGTATCATATCAAAGAGAAAAAATTACAAAAAAAAAAGAGAAGGCAAGTGAATTAGTTGATCTTTAAAATTAGTAATTTTAAGTATTATTTTTTCAGAACACATTTTTCCTTGAGTGTATCTCGGTGATTCACAATTCATATAAATGACTAGGAATTTTAATAATTGAAAATTTAGTTTGTTAATGTATTTATAGAATTTATATGAGTATTTCTAATAACATGTATCCTAATTTTATTTTACCCTGTTCAAGCATATTCAAAACATGATCTCATGTTTATCTTCTTCTTTGATAATCTTTATTAGGGCTATAAATCAGATTGTCTGATTTGAAGAACTTCAACCACATCGGGATAGGGTTTGGGCACATTGAAATATAGGCAAATTTCTTAAACTACCCTTATGGTTTAGTTAATTGACTAACTCTACCCTTACTGTTTAACTATTGTCTTGCACCACCCTACTATTTTTAACAATTGCCTAAAACCTCCATAACCGTTAATGTTCCATCATAAATCGTTCACACGTGATGTCACATGACTGTTATATTTTTCAAAAAACCTTAATTTATCCTTTTGTACTCTACTTTCTCTTCACCACAAAAGATAGTTTGTTGGGGAAGAAAGGAATTTTACTCCCCAAGAAGCTCTAATGGCAGCAAAGAATTTTACTCCCTAACACCCATGTAGGCTGGTTTTGCACTAGTCCACCTAGTCCCGGCCAAACACTGTAATACCAACATCACCACCTATGCTGCACAATTGCAATTGGAGTCATGGTGTAAGCTCTGATATCATTTGATATGTACTTTAGGAGAATTCACCCCAAAAAGCTAGTTGTTAAAGGGAGGGAACCCAAACACATATATATCACACAACAATATCCCATACTACTAATATATCTCACATTAGCATCCCATACTATCAGTGTGGGACAAAGGGATCGTAGCACCCTCCTGATCTATTTTCTCAAGCCAACTCCAAACTTTATTCTTTAAATCTTTTGCTCTCTACTTCGTTTAATATAAAATTGCAAGTGTTTTTGGAGTCTGAAACAATTTGAACAAATTTAGCTCTTCAGAATTCCGACTTCTGATACACGAGTGAGATTCGATTGAACTAGGGTGCCAACTCAGGTGAGAGAGGCGGCAAAAAGGACCTAGATAGAAATGGAGGCGGAGGTGGAGACGGAAAATAGAGGTGGAGACATAAATGGAGCAGCATCTACCACTGTTTTCAAAACCGGATTGGATCGGACAGTTGGATTGGAAAAATTAGGAACCGGTCACCTGACAGGTTTCATTTTCCTCCAAAACCGTTGATTTTAGTTAGTAAACCACTGAACCGGCCGGTTAACCGTTTGAACGGTTTTAACCATTTTCTAATTTTTTTATTTTTTTTATCTTTTTGTCAGAATGGGCCAGCCATTCGGGTCGAATGATCAGACCATTCGAACCAATAACCAGACCCTTAACCGGTTCGTTTTTAAAAGCCATGGCATCTACTTCCCATCTTTTTAGATGGTGTAATACAATAGTTAAACAATATATTAGCTAGTCAATTAGTTAAACTATATGAATAATTTAATAAATTTGTCCTTGAAAAAATTTAACAAGTTCGCAACCCAACCTGACCCAACTTACACCCTTACTCTCTCTCTCTCTCAAATACATGGATAACCGGTTATGTCATTTATTGTCCCCCAAGCTCCATAATTTTCAAGAATGAAAATTGTTATTATTTCACACCAGAAACTATATAAATTACTCCATAGCTAAGCGAGAGGCAACGGGACCATTCAATTCTCTCCGCTTGTGCATTAAAACAACAATAATGTTATTACGTTACAGTACAACAGAATTTCCGGACCAGGCCTACGTTGAACCGTTATTCTGAAAATAGGACCAACGATGCCTACATTTTGGGAGGGCCCACCGATTCATTTATGCGTTGGTTCAACCATTATTATTTTTGAAAATTAGACAATTAATTGTATTGGACTGATGTTACTAGAATAATTGAACTGCTTTCCAAATTTAGAATAAATTCAATCCAGGGATCACTATTGATACCTGCCCCAATAAAAATTAAAATTAACAAAAATCATAACAACAAAATCACCCATTGTTTCTGTAGTCACCCCTTGATTGTTTCTGTAAAATATGAACCGCACCGCACCCATAATCTATCTTTGTATCTATATATCTATCTTTCATTCCGTCCACATGGTTCTTGTGTTATCAGCCTATCAACATCTATGCCCTTCATCATCAATAAAAATAAGAAAAGAAATTCCATTCATCCATTCTTCTACTCTTAAGCATTTATGTGTTCTCACTTTTCACATCCTCGTGTATTCATTATTCAAGATGTGAATTTTTAGGAATTTATGATAATATTATTGAATAATTGAATTTGATACTGACCCGAATTATATGATCACATTAGGATTTCTGAGGGGGATTGAAATAAAATTACCCTTTTTTTTTATAAAATTCAAACAATACTATCAAGGATTGAGAGATGCATCTGACTTTACCTCTGATGTCAATGATCTTATGATTTGATTTTTAAGGGTGGGCCATTACGAGACCGGATCTGTTCTTCACACAGAGTGCCTCACAATGATTTTACAGACACATTCCACCATTCATAGGAAACATTTTCTGTACTTTTATGTTATTATCTATAAGAGATGTTCCCAATGCATGATGGAATGTGTCTGTGAGGCACCCTGTATGAGAGCAGATCCCAACTCAACTATTACTTGGTGCAATGGTAAAATCTTGGGTTAATAAGCCTAAGGCCATAGGTTCAAGTCTGAGAGTATATGGGCCACTTGGTGTGAATAAAGTTAGGTCTATATCCAGTCTGCCCCTCTCAAGACCCCATGCAGCTATGGTTTAATGAAGGCTTGATAAAAAAGAAGTCCACATAAAATGACTTATGAGATGATCCCAATTCCCAAATGGGTCAATGGTGTTGTTGGATGATTTAATTTCAGCACATGCCCATTCATATTTGTACTGAAATTTTAATTAATTATAATAGGATAACAAGGACCGAACACTAGGCCATTTAATTAAACATGCTTTGTTGCCATCCTAAGGAACCAACCATTCAGCCTAAAATCTTAAGCTGTTAGGTGATGAAGTCCTTAAATAAGTTTTTATTCTCTAATAATTTGATCTTGTTTTAAAACCCATTACTGAAATTTTATCAAAAAAAAAAAAAAGAAAACATGTTGCTTTCCTCTCTTTATGAACTTGTCTTGGAATAGATTTCTCAAAGGGGATAATATTAATGATAGTTTCTATTTCGTTTTTCTCTTAGCATGGAAACAAAAGAACCCAAATATTCTTGTCTAATTCCAATGTCGGTTCTGTATTTTGAGTTCCAATTATAATAGGGTTGACAATGGTTTAACCTACTCTCACCCTCCGACCTGATTAAGACCTCAACAGCTTACGGAAAAAAAATATGAACTGATTATATAATATATACCCTTAATATTTTATATGTTTTTCATGGTTTAACTATAACACCTTCATTAGAGTTTAAGTTTGTCATTTTGAAAAGAGATAGGGAATTTTGCAATCTATTGCCAAATTAACTGGTACTAGTAAACATGTACATACATTTGCATGTGATAGTATCTTCAAGACAAAACTATTTATAATTCATGGATAGTTTTTGAATAGTTATAAGTGGACAGTTTTTGAACAATTATAAGTGGGCAGATTCTTAATTATTATAAGTGGGCAGTTTTTGGAATGAGAGTAAAGGACATGTATGCCCTTTTTATGCCCATTGTATATTACTTAGATAAGGGGTAAAAAAGTCTAATAAAAAATCCAGAAAATGGGGTTATTCACTCTTTTATTAATAGTATAGATATAGCAAAATTCAGTTATATTTGGATTAGTAAATTTGAGGTTTGATATGAATTTAATTTCTTGCCAAGGTCTAAATTTAGGGCTGGTCTTGGGATGGCCCTTAACCCAATTAAATCCATCAAGTTTGCATCCTTATTTCCTTAAAAGAGTATTGAAAGGGAGTTTTATGGCTTGTTCTATTTTGTGGTTGAAAAAGGTATGGCTCATCTCAAAATAACACACAACACTATACACATAGGTTTCATTGATAGAGGGTATGTTTAAGTCTTTTACCCAAAAAAAGAAAAAAAATTGACAAAAGAGATTAAACAAAACGAATAGGAAACTCAAACTGAGGGCACGCTTGGCAAACCCTAAATGAAAGGATGCCATTAACAAGCGATTGGCAAGAAATTGTTTTGCAAATAGACATTCTTCAGTCAAGAGGCAAGAAATTGTTTTATTTCTTTTCAATCAGGGTGGGAGTTTTGCAAAGAGAGCTTCTGTTTGGTGTTCACTTCTACAGTCTAGGGCGGGACTCATTGTTCTATTTTTCAATCTTTGGTCCAAGGGTAAGACTCACGAATTAGGATCTATTCCTCACAGAATGCACCTCACACCGACTTTACAGATACATTATTCCACCGTGTATTGAGAATATCTCCCATGAATAATAATACATAAATATGGAAAATGTTCCCGGTGCGAGGAGACGATCCGGACTCGGACTCATGACTCATTTGCAAAGAGTATTTTCCCCTTCAGTCTAAGAAAAAAGAAGGTACAAGGTTGTCTATAATTCATTGCTCTAACATACCACATTCTAGAATAGGCTCTGATCCTCTTATTATGAATCAGCCCAGTAATTATTTAAATCCAATAAAATTTTTACTTGAAAAAATTATGATGAATTTTTCAAGCCATTTCAGTTGTCAAAATCCATGGTATTGAATTAATGCAAATTCTTACATTAGTACTAACAAATCGATATGATGCTCCAAATGAATAAAAAAGCTCCATATATATTAACTTATATCTGAGCTGTATACTGTATTCATTTGGACGGTAAAAACAAGTTTTCTTTAGCTGCTTTGATACGGGTGCCCGCTTCGCTTGGGAGTCAACGAGGTCTCACCCGCCAAATACAATCTGTCATAGTGCTTTCAGTCCATTTCCAAATTCCAATCCAGTGCCAATTGCTGCAGCCCTCTCGCCTCTTTCTCTTTTTCTCTCGTTTTTTCTATTGAGAGCTCATCAAATATTGAAAATCCAAGTATTTGCAGCGGATAGACAGTTGCCTGTGTTATCGTGAAGAATAGAGATGGGGGAAACAGAAAGGGAGCCCGGATCTCCTTTCACTTGTATTTTTTATTTTTGAGTTAAAAAAAAAATCAAATAATGAAATAATGGGGAGTTGCCAGTTGGGTTAAATAAGAATGACTCAGCAGTTCCTTCCCGAACAGAATAAACGAAGTCAAACCAAATAGCCACTACATTTGACCCACTAAGTGTCGATGGCAAGGAATATGCAACGTCCACGTCTGTCTCCGGCTCAGTTGCCAACCGACTTTACCGTGATTTTCCTACTCCCCGAAGTCAAAGCCATCTGAAGATCATTGATTCTTGCCCTCGAGCAAGTGAACACGAATCTGTCCATTCTATTTCCATCATTGATTGATGATGGAGTTATGAACGTATCCCCACTCTCCCGCCATACCATTGATCAATTTGCAGAACATAATATGTTGAGGATTCGATGGATTATAGATGTAAACGAAACCTTCCGCAGTCGATACCCCGATTGACGACGGAAACGAATAATCCTCATTCGTCAGCCTCTCGGCCATCTACCCCGGCATGTTCCCCATTGCCTTACAGTCGGAGGTCTCACAGTTGACTTCCCAAAGCCCGATGCCTTGGATGCTGTCGGTAACTTCTCCCATCATCAGCCCAACCAGAATCAAGCGCCCATCCGAAGACCCAGTGATTAAGGAACAAAGCACAGATGGTCCTGGGCGGTGTAAATTGAAGGGACCTCCCCACGTCTTCTTCTCCGGGTCGAAAGTGCAAATGACGCCAGAGAGTTTCTCCAAGACGAAGAGTTGGCCCTTGGACACGGCGATCGAGAGGCAGGTGGTGGGGGCAGAGCCCACGAGGATGGCAGGCATGGATCGGCACATCTCCCACTTGCGTGAATCGAGGTTGTACATCTCCACGGCGGGCGGGTCATCTTCAAACGCGGAGGTGCCACCGGCGACGACGACGTGGGAGCCAATAATAGCAACGAGGGGATCCACTCGCCACACAAGAGGAGTCTCAGGATTGTGCCACGTGACGTTGAGGGCATCAAGTGAGAAGGCGAATATGGAGGAAGAGAGAATGTAAAGGAGATTTGGGTGGGGTTGGGATGATGAGCGGAGGAGGTAGAAGGTTTGGGGTGGAGGCAGCGTTTTGATTAATCCCAAATCCATCCAAACATGGGAATTGGGATCATAGGCATGGGCGGTTATTGAAGATAGGTTGCGACAACTTTGGAGATAGAGGATGAGCCATGGGTTGGCACGCGGGGAAGAATTGGAAAAAGAGGTGACTACATCTACGGCGTGTCGCCAAGCCTTGGATACGCGAGAGGCAGGCAGGAGGACAGGAGGTGGATGAGAGAAACACGCGACAGGATAGACTCCAATACATCTCCATAAAGAGGAGGAGCTTCATCAGCTTCTGCTGCCAATTCTTCTGCTTTTTTTATATCCACCAGCAGGAATCCTCTCCATCAATCCTGTCCTCAAAGCATCTCTCTCTATACACATGCTATATAATTTATTTCAATAATTATAGATATATAATAATAAAAAGCTCTTTGTTTATTCAATCAAATGTATGAGGTCACATGAATGAATTTAAAAAACACAGAAGTAGGTGATAATTAAAAAAAAAAAAAACCACAAAGGTGGAAGAATTCTTTCTAGTAATAATTACAATGTAAAACAAGGGAGGAACCGAGGAAGAAGTTGGTGTATACTTTGAAATATCTTCCGGAAAAACCCAGGGTCTGATAGACAACAACTAAATTTTAAATTTTCATGATTCATGCCAACTAGACAAATAAATTTTCTGTTTGGGCTCAAAAGTCATAACCAATTCTAAAAATTAATTATTTAAATCTTGAACTCAAAGCCCACTGGTCTTTAAAATAATGATTATAACCAGAATATTAACCAAACGTAGCATTTACGATTAATGACTGCCCACTTATTTTTTGAAGGATTTTTCTTCCTTCAACTTATTACCCACTGGACCTCTCACATCATGAGTTGGTGCTGCGCTTAAGAATGGGGAATCGTTGACAATTGGTGAAATATTTATTATAATAGAAAAGTAATGTTTAAGTCAATAAACAATTTCAAAATATAAGGTTGAAATATAGGATGCACCATCTTTAAATACATTTTATAATGTATTCAAAAGACAATATTATTTTTAAAATAAAATAAGCATAAAGTTTTCCTTGATCTTGTTTTTACGGGACTGCTAAAACGGGGGTAGCCCATCTCCCAAAGTCCCAAACCTATAATCCTCCCCCCCACCCCCAATCATGGTGCATGTTATTTATAAATAAAATAAATAACATATATATTTATGTAATATATATGTTATTTATTTTATTTATAAATAGTTGAAAAAATATTTGTATTTCTATATTTAAATTGTTGTATTTTCTTTTTCTTTTAATAATTTTATTAATATTTTTAGAAAAAATAAATCAAATTGGATCAAATTTGGATATCCGACATCTTGATCAGATTTGAATTCGAATAAGTATTTATGAGATCTAATTGGATCTTCGTTTCGAGTTGGATCTACAGTGTATCAGATGGTATTCAAATATACCTTATTCAAATCTAGCCTAAATCGTTTGCATTCCTATATGTAACCCTTCCTGATGAGGGTTTCGATCTCGTTCTTGAGCTCATGACACTCTTTTGGGTCATGGTCAATGTGGCTTCGAGTAGCATTCAATGGAGTGTAATCGTTATATGAAGGTGGGCTCAACTTGTCTTTCTTGCCGTTAGAGCAGTCGGGCTTTGGCTCATTTCTATCTTTTTTCTTCTTGTCAGCTTGTTCATTTGTTAGCGGGCGCTTGCTAGCCTTGTTGTCTTTAGTGTTGATGTACTTCTCTACCCTTGTTAAGAATTCGACCATTTTCCAAGGTGGCTTCTTAGCAAGGGAGAAGTTGCAAGGAGACGATAGGAGGTTGTTTGTGGCGATTACAACGGCTACTGCTTGATCAAGGTCCTTGGCCTCTAGTGCTTTGGAGTTGAAGCATTGAATATAACTCTGAAGTGACTCTTTGGGTTTTTGTTTCATGACCACGAGTGCAACCGAAGTCTTTTGTCACTGTTGACTATTCATAAAGTGCGATAGGAAGACTTGAGAACCATCTCCTAGTGGCACCCTTAAACATGGTCTAGATTGCTCTACACATCAGGGCGTTGAAGAACCCATGGAGAAGCGTGATGACATAGAAGCTCTCCAAATGATCTTCCGAGCCTATGGTTCCGTCATAAGTCTCCAAAGTTAGGAGCCTTAAAATTTTGGGTCATAACACGTGGTCAAGCACTACCCTGCCATAAATGCATAGTGGAGGGTTCAGCCAAGGTTGTAACACCCACAATAAATGCTCCCTAAGGTCTTGTGAGATGACGAAAATGCCCTCTGAGAGTGCCACGCATCATCTATTGATGCCGGAGTCAATGTTACCCGTACCAACTACAAATTCAAATGGATCTTATTAATGTGATTCAACTTCAAGCCCAATTCATTTGAATTGGATTCACATACCCAATTAAGTATGAATAAATTCAATTGGACTTGAAAATTTAATCCATTGTTGAACAAGTTGAATAGGAACAAGGTTGTTGAGACTTAGTTAGACCTTGTTCATTTTTTGGGAAGCCATTTATCTAAGTAAATGCACTTATCTAAGCAAATGTTTTCTAAGATACACTTATCCAAGTAAGTACACTTATTATTGTTCTTTTGTTTCGTAGATGAAGTTGTACAACGATCATTTTATCCATAAAGGTGTCATTATTGAAGGGATAATATTGTTCCATCATATGTTAGCAATTTTTCCCATGGGTGGGAAAGTTATTTACCCAAGTGGGCAAATGATTATACTTGCCCAAGTAATTGTTGCGCTCGGAAAGCATTTAGCCATCTAATACAAAAAATGAATGTAGATAAATTGATTAATTCTCATGCTAACCAACTTACTTGCCCCTTTTTACCGAAAAAATGAACAAAGGCCCTAGAGTTAAAAATGGGTTGTCCCTTGGCAAGTTTTTATTGGCTACTAACAACCTTTAGGGTTGCCCCAACTCGATGTGGCCCACACAACAGTCTTGAAAATATATGTCTAGGCCTTGGCCTTGGTTGAGCACTTGGTTTAGCCTATATAAATTAATAAATTATTTGGAAAATGGCTGCCCTAACTCAAAATTTTCTTGGATGGGCTTGGCTAGGGTTGTAACTCAAACAAGTTGAGTTAGGTTGAGGTCAACCCATGCCCAACCCTAAAGGTGCAAACCACATACTCTAACCTTGTCGAACCTAAGGTCAAGCCCAAATTTATCAATTGATTCTAACCCAAGTTTAACCCAACAGAATGCAACTTGCTAGTTGGTAAGGTTTCCTGCTGGTCGTAGCGGAGATTTGGGATCAAGTCCTACCTGTACCTAGGTTAGGGGATGGGCTATCCCCCATTGTGTAGCCCTTCAAAAGATATCAAAAAGAATCTTGATTACCCAAAATAAATATCAAGTCCTACCTTTACCTTATGCTTTTTTTGTTTGAGAAAATGGTATAAAATTCATTTTATTATAGTTTTCATGCCAGCTTTAATGGCTACTAAAATGCTTATATTTGTGTATTTAATTCATCTCTAATTGTAAGGATTGAAAATATAACTCCAATTATTACTTTTCACCTCATTTAATCCCATTTTATTAATTCTTATACTTAAGGTATTAAATCTCATTTTCTCTTATTAAATCTTATATTTTTAAATTATTTTTTAATAATAAATACAACTAATTAGATCTATGTTGATATTTTTAACAATATAAACCTATATGTTTTAAAACTGGCTCAAAAATAAAATTATTTTTATCCAAGTGGTGGCTAAGCAATTCAACCATCTGAATCAAATTGATCAACCTACAAAGCCATAGTTAGGTAATATTTTTTTTAAAAATAGAAATAAACATAAAAAAATAAAAAACATAGAAAAATTAGAAACATTTATGATTCTTAATTAATCAAACTAAAAATGAAATGCATAATTTACAACTAGCCAAAAGTAAAATATAAAAATTAAAAATAAATAGTTCAACTTTGGGTTAAATGTGTTAATCTTTAATGCCATAATATAAAAATACAAAAATAAAAAAAAAATACATAAATTTTGCAAAAAAAAAAACATTCAGGCACATGTATAATATCATATATTTATGGACAAATTTCTTAAACTAGCCCTAAGGTTTAGAAAATGAACTAACTATACTCCTAATGTTTCTATTTTTTCTTAAAGTACTACTATTTTTGACAATTGACTAAATCTTCCTTGCTATTAGTGTTTGACTGAAGGATTAAAAATACTATTTTGTCTATTATTCTTCTTTAAATTTTCACAAAGAAACTTTTGACAACTTATTGAAAGTGAGAATTTTAAATAAAATTCGTCTAAAGATGTTGGAAACGATAAACCAATTCTCGTCGCTTAATTCTAGTATATCAAACAAATAATTAGAAAATCATAAAATCACAATGTGAAAGAAAGCATGACATTTAAGTCACTAAAAGAGGAGAGTTGTTGCTGATACGCAATAAAATGCTGTCATCCGAAAACCACACCTCAAAATGCTGACTAAAATCCGAAAATCCGCTAAAATGGACCCAATCGCCGATGACCGCAAGATCCGAGTAGACGATGGATTGTTCTGCGACAACTGCAGGTTCTCGGTTGAGACCAAGGACACGGGGCTCTGGAAGCAGATCCCAGAGAGGTGAGTCAATTTCATGAAAGAATATGTGATGGGCGATCATTACGCGTCGGATTTAGTCATGGTCATCTAGGATTCGTTATCATTCGCGGGGAGAGTTAAGGTCTCGGGGGAGGGGAAGGGCATACGTATTCGACATCAATTAAACTTTGCTCTCGAACTTGCCGTATTACAAACTTCGTGGTTTTAGCCTTTTAGGTAAGTGTGGAACGATAGTTCTTTTGTCGTTCATCGTTTGTTGAGTAGATTGTATTTGCACTTCTTCCAAACTGAACCTTAGAGTTTTTTAAACTGAATTTAGTTTCATTTATGAATGTCTTCTTTGGACGATCTTTCCAAAGCTATAATTATTCAATTGCAGGCGGAAATGGGCACTGGTGAAGTATACGCAAGGTCTTTCCGGTTCATATGAGTTCACTCCCTCTTTCACACATTCTGGTCGAAAGACTCGTAACCCCTACACGGCCTTCGACATCATGGCCCGAAGGGTCCAATTCCAACTGCAAACTCCTAATGAGGCCATATTCTCCTTCCTTGACTCTTTCCCGAATTATTTCACTTGTTTTTTAGGTAAAATTATTTTTTTTCTCCAATTTAATGCTGGAACCAATACAACTGACCCTACGTGGATGCGAAAGTTGTTGCCAATGGGGATACGATAACAGTTTATGTGGATACCACAATCCCCAGGGAATCGTCTATTGATCTAATCATAATTTGTCAATGCTTGTCAATGGTGATGAAGGAGAAGACTAAGAGAAGATCACCGCTGAGGATTCGTTATTCCCGTCGGAAGATGATGAACGGTGGCAAAAAATGGAAGAAAAGAAAGATGGAAAGGAAAGGGAGAAAATAGGAGAGAGAGAGAGAGAGGAAGGTTAGTCATTGCCACTAGTTTGAGTAGAGATGGCGGTGTTCTTCTCCGGAAAGGGTATTTTGGGTATAATTTAAAATTAAATTAAATACACGTGAAGTCATGTGTAAACGGTATGTGACGGAGACTTAATGGGAAGGGAGATGTGCGACAATTGTCATAAACAAAAGGGGCATTTTAAGACTACAAAAAACAGTATGGATATAGTTAGTTAATTTCCTAAATCTTAAGGGTAGTTAAAAAAAATTTCCTATATTTATCATATTAAATAAAAAAGTAAGTTTGATATATTAGAATTAGTTTTACACACAAAAATATAAAAAAAATTGAACACATTTATAATTCTATATTTACACTACTATTAAAAATATGGATAAGATTGTGGAACTTTCTTTTGACTAAAATACTCATTTTTAAATTTAGTCCATATTTAATTGTAAGGATTAAATTGTAAATTGAACTACTACTTTTCACCTCATTAAATTCCCTATATTTAAATCTTACAATTTTTTGATAAATGAACAAAAGAAAAAAGATACACTAAAAATAGAAAACACTACAAAAAGATTAGTCTAGCAAATAGGTAAGCTTGCCAATGATACTTGAAACTTTACAACTTTATCCATTTTATCACATGTTTGGTTGATGTGTTTATGTAATCAGATTTGGATTTTACAATATGTATTCGATTAATAATAAAAAGCAAAAAATAAAAAATAAAAAATACATAAAATTTGTAGAAAATTTTGAATATATTATTATTACCATTATCATCATTTAGAATTGCTATATGTAAATTACGTATATGATTACTAATAAAAAAACATGATACCAAGCATCGACCTACTTCTCCACCCGTTGTTATATTTGGTTCGATGGAAAATAAGGGAGAAATTAAGAGTACTTTTTCTCAATTATCTATTTCTCTCTTTATCTTTTCATTAACCCAAATGCAACCTTACCGATTACCGATTAGAGAGATCATACATGCTTAGCAGTCATTGGGCAATGCTGATGACGACACCTTGATCACCTTATGCATATCTGCATGCAGCTTATAGTCCAGCATGTTGGACGGATTATAGAGTCCAAAAATAAAACAAAACAAAAAAGAAGAAATTGTCTAAAACCCACTATCACTTTTTATAAATTTTCTTGAACTCACCATAACTTTTCAAACGTCCAAAACTCACCATGTGAGTGAGATAACTGTAACTGTAACTTAGAGACATTACTAATTTACTATTGTATCCTTTATTATGTTCGACCCATTTTACTATTTAACTTAAATATTCGATCCATCACGCATAAGTGTGAATATTAAAATATCAGGACCGACGTATTTGCATCCTTCTTGTATGAGAGAAACCCGATCTGAGGTCAGTGAGGTTGAAGATCTTCGACGGAAGACGACCAGAGAATGAGTTGTACTGCAAGAAGAGGGTGTGAAGATGGGAGAATCATTCTTGTGTCAAGAATGGAATAAGACACCCGTTCTTGTACAAGTGAAATTTAGACACCCGTACAAGAACCGAAGAAGGAGGACGCGAAGACGGGCGGATCGTTCTTGTGTTAAGAACGGAATTAGACACTCGTTCTTGTATAAGTGAAATTTAGACACCCGAACAACTACTCTTGGCATCGTTCTTGTGTCAGGAACGAAATCTACAATGTACAAGATAGTGAAATTAAAACGACTAATAGTAAATAATGAGGGAATATGGGTAATACTTCTTCCCAGTTCCCAGTACCATTTCTACCCATGGTCCTTTCTCAAACTCAAATTTTTACATAATCAAACAGGCGTTGGGTTTTCGTCGCTGAAGATCTAAGGAGGGTATACGTATTTGGGATGGTGGGTGTAGTAGTAGTAAAATTCGTTATTCTTTACTTCCACTTTCGTCTCCTCTCCAGTCCCTTGTTTCGCTTCTTCACCTTCTTCTTTCTTCTCCTTCTCCCCTTCTCCCGTTCCTCCGCCTCCTCCCTCCTTTTCTCTTTCTCTCCACCACCCTCTTTCCTTCTTTCTCTTCCTTGCTCTCCTTCTCCGGTTTTTGCTTCACGATCACTGCGTGTTTCCCTGTTCTCTTGTACACGTACTCCACCAGCTTTTGGGGATTGAATACGCCTTTCACCGTCACTTGTGAGCTCTTCAGATCTGGTTCCGCATCTTGCACTCCTGAAATTTAGACACCCTTACTTGTAACAAATGACGAAAATCCCATCTTCAGATCTGTCTTCTCTTGTACATGTACCCTTTATTATGTTCGATCGATCACGCATGGCCGTTGTCCGGTCAAAAGGAGTCTTGCTTCAAGAGAGAGAGAGAGGGAGAGAGCAGCAGCAGCTGAGAGCAGTGGAGAGGAGCATATCAGAGGTGGTGACCGCTAAGTGAACGGCTCTGAGCAGTGTCTTTCTCTGTTTCATGGGTTCCCGCTTCCCTATAAATCTTTGAAATAGGATTGGGCGTTTAAGGGCATTTTCGTCAAAAAAAATTAATAAGCTGATTCATCATTCAAGGGCAGTTTGATCATGAAAGTTGACGTGGGCGATTTAGGTCAATGAATAAATTTTAAACGTTTTGAAAAGTTATGATAAATTGAAGAGAATTCAAGTGATGGTTGATTTTAAACAATTTTTCAAACAAAAAAAAAGTCTCTTCCCATTCCGTCTTCGTAGTATGAAAAAAAGCTGCTTTTTCTTGGCTGGCTGCACGCGTTGACGTACCAAAATCACGTGCAAGGGGCTGAATCGGTTGACCGGGCGATTCGCGTTTTCACTTTTAAATCTGATATTGACATGGAAAAGTGCTAACCTCTGGATACCATAGTACCGTCCAACATCATTTACTGCGACTTGTAAAATTATTCCAATCAGATGATTCAGATGGGCGTACCATGCCGTGTCCGGTCCGCGATGGTAAATGATAACGAACTTAACCCACTTCGTAGTACAGATTCGACGTGGTTCTATATGCACCCCAAAACTTTCGATGTAAGGAGAAACACAATATTAACCCCAACCCCTCTCTCTCTCTCTCACTGTATATATATTCCGATTTTCGTGGTGAAATGAACTGCATTCTATGCAACCAAAGGAAAACCTGTTGCCAAAACAACAGGGAGTGAGAGTTTGGGAGAACTAATAGACTTTTTCCTCTGTTTCGAGAAGAAGAAGAAGAAGAAAAAAGATGGCACTTTCCAAGGCGAAGGAGATCGTTTCAAAGCATCCGGTCGTCGTCTTCAGGTATGATTAATATGTTAACATAACATAACGCTTATTTAACGTTAGGGCATATTCTCTCTCTCTCTCTCTCTCTCTCTCGATCTCTTATTTTATGTTGTTTATGTTACTCTTTTTTCCATTGTAAGATCGCTTTTGTTGCACTTTCTTTTCTTTTTCTCTCTTTCTCTTGTTCTTATTCTTATTCTTCTTCTCTATCGATCTGTCATTAGTCCCTACAATCCATCAAAATAAATCTCCTTTTTTTCTGAAAATTTGCGAATATTTTTGGTGCAGCAAATCGTATTGTCCCTTCTGCGATAGGGTGAAGAATCTTTTGTCACAGTTGGGGGCGAATTATAATGCCATCGAATTGGACGTCGAAAGTGAGTCTTCCGCTCTCCTCCTCCTCCTCTAAATTTCTTTGTCAATTCAACCGGGTTTTTGTTATTTGACGTAATTATGTTCTAAATTACCGATCACCAACAAACAATAAAACTAACTGAGATTCATCCTTCGACTTTTAGTGCTGAAGCTTTTGATATTTTCAGCTTAGCAATTGGTCGAGTACATTAGTCGCGAATTTAAGTTCGTACACATACTCGCGTCACGGATCAGTTTGTAAGGTCCTTTTTAGGTGGATAAGCATAAGTTTATTCTTCCATGGTTTAGATGGTCTAATTAGAATTCTGAGTTTACCCTCCACCAGGGATTATTGCATTACTCATTAAATTTATAATTTTGCTTCACGAGGCTAGTCAACCAGGGGCAGCCCGTCCCTGTACTATGTTATTAGTTGGAACTTTACGAGAATTATTATTATACGTATTATTTATGACTTTATATCATATTTAGAATTATTTGATTCTTCATCGCATCCATGTGTTTCTAAGGTATATCCCTATACGTTCTCTTAAAATTGTCTTTTTAGGACAAAATGCAATTTCATTCAATAAATCAGAAAACAGTACATTCATCTCCTCCCTAATTATGATACAAATACATTCAGGAGAATCATTTAACCAAGTCTTACAACAATTCTCAGAAACTGCCAACTTGGCCAAACAATCATCAGCTTGGTGAGGAATGAACTGAACCTTGATATTTGCCTCTTGAATTAGCTCCTTGCAGTCTGCAATAATTGATGAAATTCTCCATGGAACATGCACAGCTGAGCCTTCCAACATATTGATAATGGATAACACATCACCTCCTAAGATGAATTCCTCAAATTCAGTATTTTATCCAGCATCAAACCTGCCTTGAAAAGCCAGCGCCTCTGTTTCCTGAACAGAACAAGGCCCAAAATCACAAGCTTTACTCGCAATATGCCACCCTCTATCATCCCGCACCATCATCCCACACCTGAGCCTGAAGAAGCACCATCTACATTGATTTTCAGAACACCCACAGGCAGGCTCTTCCATGAAAATTCCAGCATCTTCAATCTTTTCGGGGAGTATGACATAAACTGCAGCAAATTTCTTTCTATTATCTCTTAGATGTCCATGGGTTTGGTAGAATAGTCAACGTTATAATTGTCTTTTTGACACTCTTTGTGATGTCAACCTTGATTATCTAACAAAGTTATGAAGAGAATCAATTATTATACTAGTAAATATCTAGTGTACTATTTTGTTAAAAAAACAAAACTATTAAGTTGAGTCAATAATTACTGCCAATAGGATGAGGAAAATTGTTCTTCAAAAACCAAGTTGCAACTAACTGCTTCTGCAATCTGCAGTGTTTTTTTCCCTCTATAAGGTAATTTGATAAGGTTATACCATGTCCTGCTTGGAAACACATACCCTGACCACACTTATTGTCCATTTTTTTGGTTCTTTGTAACACTGAAGGTGATGGAAATGAAATACAATCAGCACTGGCAGAGTGGACGGGGCAGAAGACCGTCCCCAATGTGTTTATTGCGGGAAATCACATTGGTGGATGCGACAGTATGTATTTAATCCCTCATGAACGTTTCTTGTTCCAGTAACAGCTCAAGTAGCATTTTTTACTGACTACACTGTTTTGTTGATTTTTACTGCAGAGACCACAGAGATGCATAGGGGAGGGAAGCTGGTGCCGTTGCTAACTCAAGCTGGTGCAGTTGCAGTCGCTTCTTCTTAAGTTCTCACAAATTGCATAGATAATATGCGTAGAAACCACTATATTGCATTGCGGTTATTTACTGGTTTTCTTTTATTGTGGTTTCTGTGCTATAATAATTGTTCACGATGCTACCATATGAAGACATGTTTTAGCTAGTTAAGTTTCTATCTTCGTTTTTTTTTCTAGAGAAAAAAAAAAGAAAAGCCCATATACGCAGTGTGGTTAATTTCTTATAGTCATGAAGGGATTAAATACTGCATCAAATGGTGAAAATGCATTGTCGTAGTAGCCTGTAGTCTAATTCCACCCACCCTCCAATTTTTTCTTGCTCTTCTTCCCCTCCAGGGATGGCAATTGCTTTTCATCTATCTTTGGAAGTAAATATGGTGAGTGCTAGCTGAGAAGACTGCTGAACAAAGAACTTTTGTTTTCTTTTTTGATCCCCCTCCCTATATCAGACGATTACTTTCTCCTTGTTTTTTAATGGTTCCCTTTATTTTGCCAAAGAAAAAAGAACTATTGTATCTACATATGATCCAATATCATATATAATGTATTACACAAGTTACTAAGACTGCATTTGGCATTCATTATTTTAAGAAATTTTTCTTTTTTTGCTGTTAAAATGCCCCTATAAACACAGAGTTTTTAACTGCAAAAGGAGATAAATCCTTAAAAGAAGGAATTGCAAATGGAGCCTAAGTCTACCTAGTTATTGTGCCAAGCTAAATCAATCCATAGCCTATTGTGTATGTGTGGGAGGGTTGTGCAAACATGTTGAGTGCAAAACCTTTTATTTTATATGTATTTGTACTCCTTCCAAACTGAGCCTTAGAAATTACCAGCCTGTACATTGGGGTAGTGAAACTTAGCCCCCCACCCCCCCAAACTTTCATTTGCAATGAAACCGCCTAAACTTTCAGATTCTAACACTTTGACCCCTTTTCGATGATTGGATTGATGGAAGAAGTTAATTTATTAAAATGCGAATTTGAGATTCATGTGTGGAAGTATGACATTTCAAAATGATGAAATGAGAAGGAGAAAGCGTTCTTTTTTTTACCCATTTTGGGTGAGAGAGAAGAAAAAAGAAACATCGAGTAAAGGTTTTATTCAAGAAAGGGCAAACTGACACAAATTAAGGATTTATGGATGTTTAAAAGGCACATGTCATTCACATGAGAATCTTTTGTAGAAATTACTAGAGAGGGGGTAAAGTGTTGGAACCCGAAAGTTTAGGGGGTTGGGTGTTCACTACCTCCAAAATATAGCATGGTGATCTGTCATTTGCCTTTTTTTTTTTCTCTTGTGATAGGGAAAATAAAGCTTTTTGGACAAAATCATGTGGGCTAGGCAATACAATGTGAAATCGAAATGGATCATGACATCATGTCACCCATAGCCATATAAGAAAGAGAGAGAGAGAGAGAGGAGGATGAGGAATTGACTAATTGAGGAGAAAGAGGAGGGAATCAGAGAATAGCTAAATAGGAATCTTCCTCTGGTGCAGGTTCATTACCTACACCAGGAAAGCCAGAAGAAAGAAAAAGAGAGAGAAGGTTTGTGAAGGCAGAAAAATTGGGTTTTCCTGTACGCGATCTATAGTTTAGTTTCTACTATTATTATTATGACGTAGAAGAGGTAAAGGAACGTCCAGAAAGAATAGCGGGTAGGGAGGTTAAGATATGGGACGTTGTTGAGCCCCCAACCAACACCAACAGTTGGAAGCATTAGGATAGGATTTAGGCGTCGCCTCTGTTATCTGTTGGTATCATACGCATACCCCATTTTCTCAAGTCAATTTTCTAGGACGAACATCCACCACAATAAGAAATCGGGACGCATTGACCAAGCGACAGTGTGTAGAATTCTGGTTTGGTCCAAAAATAAGAAGGTAAACTACAAATGCTTGGAACTTTCGAAGCAAATCTGTAAAGGGAGAGGGAGAGAGAGAGGGAGAGGGACATCATTAACAATAATTAACGCTTATAAGTTGGTTGTCTCATTAGTCTCTCTCATTCTGGGCCCGCCGAAGCTGCTCTCTTTAGGAAGGCCTTAATGGCGTCAGATTTGTCAATATAACATCAATGCCTAATTGCTTATGCCGCCTCGTTATTTGCACTTTCAAGCGACGCGCGCGCGCTCTCTCTCTCTCTCTGAGTCGTAGGGGGTTGTTTGGTAATTGGAATAATGGTGGCGTGTGCGTTGCGTTTTGGATTGATCACCATAATTCGCAAAACACAATTCACCGCTGTAGTCAATAGTCATGGATGATTACGGTATTTGACGTTAATTAATGCGTTTACATATTGTATGCGAAATTGGTCAACTCTACTTTTTTCTCTTTACATATTTTCTTAAAAGTTGTCTTAAATTTTCTAACAATTATCTAAAATCTCTTTTGTCGTTATTTTTTCGTTACTCATTTACATGTGACATTAAGATAGTGATAATTATTTTAAAATTCTTAAATATCCTTATTATTCATTGCTAATGTTGGAAGTTGCAGCCATGACAGTGATTTTGATATCGTTGCAGGCGACAGGTGACGACAGCTATACAACTTCTGAACGGCAAAAATTTGGTGGGAAGTTGAGCCTCCCAAGATAGCTGATTCCATTAAAAACTTTTGTGTTATCTCCCCTCTCTTAGTGGATCTCAAAAGAAATGTCAAAAAATTAAGGTTTTATGAGTTCTACGGGGATTGACCAAAGCAAAGACATTGCGTTCGATCGTAAGTCTCTTGATCTCTTAATGTTTGAATTTCGGGTTTTGACTGGGGTAATTGGATTTCTCAGAATCCAAATCATCTAAAGAAGTTGAAAAAAATCTAAGCTCTGGATTTCTGTTATTTATTGAGCTTAAACGAATGAAATCTTGCGCATCACCGGCTAAGATCCACAAGGTGAGTTCAAAATTTGAACAAATCTTAAGGTACCAACCCCTGGCTATTGAAGATCTGACAGTAATTCAGTTTGGAATTCTTAAGAGAGATGCCCCAAAACCTGCCTTACTGCCGTCAATTTTGAAACCTGGCCTCCTGATGGTGATCTGTTTCAAAAACGCAAATTGCAGAGATAAGAGGAAAAAAAAAGATAATATAGAGAAAGCATTAAAATCGAGTCGTGGAGTGCGAAAATATTGAGTCTCTCGAATGTAGAGAGGGCAAAAAGCCAACGAAGGGTGTTATGTATTCAGGTTGCGAGATAACGTAGAGAGAGTTTGGATTTCATAGTTTAAACTATATAGGATTTTCAATCATGAACGAGACTCCCTCTTACTCACACACTCTCAGTCGTTCGTTAGGACTACAATTAAATAAAAATTAGATTTCATAGAACTATCTAATTTACCCCAGAACAACTCAGAAATTCTAATTTGCAGTTCAGATTTCACTTTCAGCAATCGGCAATTTGGAGGAAGAGGAAGACAAGCTTATTTGGGCTTTCACCAAGGACGGAAACTACTCTGTTAAATCGAGCTACCAAGTAGCATGCAAAGTTAGTGGATTAAAGTTAATTGTGATGCAAGCTTTGACCCACAATCCCAAATTGCTGGTATTGCATGTGTCTTGAGGGATCATTCAGGTAAAGCTATTGGAGCTCAAAGGGACCGAGTACGCTGTCAATCGATTTGGGATGTCGAAGGAAGAGCTATTAGGATGGGTTGTTTAGAAGCACTAAAGGAAGGTTTGGATAAAATTCTCATTGAATCAGACTCGTTGGAAGCTGTAAGGGCTATTAAAAATAGCAATCGATCTGAGTTTTCTCCTCTAAAGACCATCTGGTCAGACATCAGTAGCCTAAGTAGGCGTTTTACCCACTGTGAAGTCCTCCACTGTAAAAGAGAGGCGAATCGGGTAGCTCATTACCTAGCTTGTGCAGCACAAAAAGCAGACCTTTTTGTATTGAGATCCAGCCACTTTTCCTATTGGTTTGATCCGTTTGAATACCTCCATTTTGAGGATTTGTACCCACCTGATCTCTTAATAAAATTTCGACCCCCTCTGCTTCGACCAAAAAAAGTTCAGATTTTAGAGAACTATCGTGCGATTAAACGTATAAAAAGAAAAACAAACCTTAGATTCTGATTTCCAGTGTACCATAGCCGAACAGGCAAGAACAACTGAAAGAATTCTTTCGAAGAACTAAATCATTCAAAACAGAGAGCCTGTATTTGTTCAAATTTTGAACTCACCTTGTGTATGGGATGCGTGAGTTTTTATCCGTTCGAACTCGATAAATGGCTAGACAATTTCTAAGTTCCTTTCTCTGGTTAGGGTCAAATTCGAGAATCTCTCAAATTCTCGGATAAATGAATCTATACAGTCAGTTGGGTTATTCTCAGATAAATGAATCAGTCTACACAGTCAGTTGGATTTTATTTTAAAAATTTGATGAATAATGAAGAGCAAATTTGACATTTCATTTTTCTAGAAAACTTAAATATATTTTAAGATAATATATAAACAATAAAGATAAAGTTAGTCAATTTCACAAACAATAAGGATAATTTAAGAGATTTACCTGAATTTATAACATCAACATTTCATCATACATGAATAAAACTATATCCGTTTCTGTAAAAGTAAAAGCAACGCAACAGAACACTTTCTTGTGTTTCTTTGTATCACAATCACAGATGATTTGGGTGAAGGATGACTACGGGAAACACAGGCTTTCAAGGTGTTTGGTTCCGTGAGTTTCAATAAATGCTGTTACATAGGTGCCATTTCAATAGTTTCCCTATTTTACTCTTTGATATTGAAAATTGTAGAATTTTGATTTTTGTGCATAATTACTATTTAAATAAATTATTTTTTAAAACTTTCACAAATGATGACATTTTTCAGTTATATTTAAAATATTATTGAATGCTAAAAAATAAACGAAATCAAACACATACTTTATATTTTTTTTGATAAAGGGACGGTATGTTCGATAATCCATTGAAAAGCGTAAAACGGTGATCTGCATGGGTATCAAAGTCAAACACGTTTCCGACGGTGAAAGGAAAACGGGTTGGGGATACCCGGTATCGTAAAGTATATGATTCATTAAACGCAACGGTGAAAGGAAAAAACACCAAAATGCGAAACAGGAAACACCCTGACCTGAGCGTGACAAACATTTGTCTTCTTGAATGAAACGAAGATTCCAATATGTGAGTTTGGGTAGACCAAGAAAGGAAAGGACAGTGGACACGCAGCTTCTTCTCCTTTTCTTCTTCTTCTCCTCCTGTTTTTCCGCGTGAGCTTTAAGCGGCAGAAAGCCCAGAACCAGGCATTCTTGGGATTAGCCTCCTACCCACTGCTTATTTAACAACCTTGCTCGGCGACTCGGCGTTCCGATTTCCGACGCCTCTCTCTCTCTCTCTGCTTCCATATACGAGAGTAAGACCGAAAAAGAGATGGGAGGGATTTTTAGTTCGAGCAGAAGGAGAGGAGACGAAGGCGAAGACAAAGGCGAAGACGAGTTCGAGACGGCGCTATCAAAGGCAAAGAAACTCGTTTCATCCACTCCCGTCGTCATCTTCAGGTTCCATTCTTTCCTCCTTCCTTTTTTTTCCTTCTCTTCTTTCTTTCTTTTTTTTTTAACTTCACGGTGATGTCCAACATTTTTTTTTTCTTTGTGATTACCGCGTAGGTATCCGTGCCTGCTCGGACCGGTCATAGATTTTAACTTCTCTAATTCTTTTCTGTCGATTGGAGGGTTTTGCTTTTATTAGAACAAAATCCGTTGGAATTGTCTATGCCGAGTTTGTTTATTGGTACCTTCGAACTTCGATGTTACAGTCAGGATCAGGAACCCCTTCTGGTGGATTAGTTTAAATTCCTGCTTATTGTTTGATCTCTATTTCTCTTACACTTTTTCTTTGGAGTTCTTTTCTTAGTTTCTCTTACACTTCTTCTCTCCTACCCAAGTAACAAACTTGGCTATTCTCTTATACAATTAGCATTATTCCGCAAAATCTGTTATTGAACTACCCCCACAAGCAACTTACCTTCTCATTTTCTCTTTCTGGTATCGTTCCCTAATACGATATCATTTACTTGGCTATTCCAAATCCAAATTCAAAAGGCGTTTAGAAATCTGGACAACTCCGTATTTCATTTGACTCATTAACCATGGATATTAATGTAATGCTATGTGCGTTCATTTGGTTTGAGGAAGGGGAGAAGGAATATGTGTAACAAAATAAAATCCAATCAACTGGGGCATTCCAATCTAATCAAGTGAGTAACAAGACGGAAATGATTTCCAATGGTTGGCTTTTGCTTGGCATGGGCAGCCCTGATATTGTGGTCAACCTAGCTTGTTAACAATAAATCGAGGAAGAACCAAGGAGGAAAATATACACAAATATGTCTATACTAATATATAATTAGCAGGGAGACGGTGATGTGCTCTCCTTATGACTTTTTCATTTGTTTAAAATCCTCTCTCCTCCCACGTTTTCTCTTCCATTCCAAAACCATTTTCCTTAAAATCCTCTCTCCAACTTTCTCTCAGCCAGAAACCCGTCCTTTAAATCGGTCTTTTGTGTTTTTGAGTTTTTGTTAGTCATGCCTATGCACTTGTATAATTGCACGGGCTCTCCTGCTAGTATTGTATTATGGGAAAAGACAAAGAGGTTACCTCCATATTCATGGTAAAGCCCTTCCTTCTTGAGATTCTGTTTTGCTTCACCACAGAAGCTGATACACTAGTTTAATTGTTGGCTGCTTAGATCCCCTTCTCTTCCCAAGGGAGGGGATAATAGTTGGAGGTTCACCACTCTTCCCTAATTTGTCTTGAAACTTCACTGATCAAGGAGTAAATGGTGGAAGCTCACTACTGTATTCAGAGGAAGCTCACCTCTCAAAGAAAGTGAGAACTAGAATGCTAAAATAAGTTGATGCAATAGCTACATTTGAGAAGTTCTTTGGAGTTAACAATGAATAGGCATGGATAAATTCTTATTTTTATGACATTTCTTCAAGTTTAGGTGGACGTTGCCTGAGATCAATCTTCTAATGTTAAATTGACTATTCTACTGACAAAAGGTTTTAATGTCTTAGTGCATAATCAGGTTTTGCTTGAGGTGTGTCATATGGGATATGATATCCCCATCTCCTTCATGTATCAGTTTAACATATCATGTACTTTGTTTTGTCCATGCATACTGCATAAATATTCCTTCTGCACTAGAGTCTTGGATTCCATATTAGTACGGAAGGGGAAAGGATCTCCATTTCTTCTTGGCTTTTTCTTCATTTCTAAGATGTCTTTCTTTTAAGTGAATCCCTAGTTTCCTGGAGAACTTTCCAAGTTGTTGATCCAAATTTCTATTGTTTGTTTGCAGTAAGACCTACTGTGTTTATTGCCAGAGGGTTAAGAAGTTGCTTTCACAGCTAGGAGCAAGTCACAAGGTCATAGAATTGGATGTGGAAAGTGAGTGTATTTCTTTAATTATTGATGAGTGTCTCGTTTTCATCGCTATTGTGTTTTCATTTTTCTACACTATGTCCTAGAACATCCCCTTGGATCATGTTGGACACCTTAAACCATAAGTTATGAGATCCAGCATGGGCATGACAGCATTAAAATAATGATGAAAAGCTAAGGGGGTGTCCTCCAACATGAGTATTTGCTTTTCTTGTTTAAAAATATGCCACATAAGCAAATTATCAAAAAAAATATGCCACATAAGCAGGAAAAAAAACAAAACACTTTTCTCCAATATTTATTTTCTCAAAACAAAGTGAAAGCATTTTTCAGTTTAATTCAGAACATTAACCTTGTTTGATGCTTTCAGAAAAAGAAAATCATGTTTTCACTTCCATGAGGCTGATATGGGTTACCATACAACCAATAACATGTTTTCTGTATTTTTGTTTTAAGAATCATTTTATTTTTTCAAATCAGATGTGGGACCTTTGTTTTTGGTATTGACAACTAAAAAAATCACATTGAGAAACAGACCCTAAATATGCAAGTATATACAGATTTTTCATGCACATCTTATGTTTTAAAAAAGCCTGAAAGTATAATTTCCACAGCCACATGCACATACATGAACATATCCAGTATATACTGAAAAAAGAAAGAAAAATAATTGCCTTGAGAGCCTGCAGGTTATTAACATTACTTTGGGAGACAGTTTTTAATACCAATCTACATATGACCTTAAGTTGCTTTGTTGGAAGTTGGAACTGCCAACTGCTTGAGTATGCTACTTGAAGGAAATTCTTGCAGAATACACCCGTGAACCTGTGATATTCTTCCCTTTTTCCTTTCTTCTTTTTAATGATATAATTCCACAGTATTGGTGATCAGGAGGGGCTTAAATATATCACACGGACTAAATGCATCAAAGAGCACAAGAGAGTGTAGCAAATGACTTCGAAATTGTGTTGGCACAACTTTTGAGACACTCTTAATTAATATCAAGACAAAATTCTGATTTTCTTGGAACTGTCAACCATACAAGAACGCTCTAACAATTGCTGATGCCCCACTGTAGCAAGAAACTTCTAAGTATTTGGGTCACCTTTGCTTGATCCACACGGATAGTGGGGGGCTAATCTATACATCTTTCCCAATTCGAAAGGAGACAAACATTTTTAAGTTTTAGCCCTTCTCTTCATATATAGGGGACATTTCAGGCTTGGAGGCACAGGACCCATGCATGGGTCTGGGTCCCATAAATTGCCAGTTGTCCCATGTTTGAAGAATTTAGATCCACCTTTGAATGGTAATAAACTAATTACAACTATTATGCCAAGATTAGCCCAGTCAAATGAATTTTAGTCAGACCATCCAACATCAAGAGCCTAATTTTCTGTTTAGTTGTTCTCCTAGGCAGGATCCATCTGATGATGGGTCCCGATTCTCAAAACATGGGGCAGCTGACAAGCCATGGGGTCCCAGAACCATAGAGGCCCTGTACTCTAAGTTGCAAGATTTAGCCTTAGACAAAAAGATATGTTTGGACTGGTGTGTGCTTCTAGATGTTAAGGTAAACAGTTTTTGTTTGTACTTATTTTACCTATTATGATGTGAAGGAGATGGAGGTGAAATTCAGTCAGCGCTGGCAGAGTGGGCTGGACAGAGGACTGTCCCCAATGTGTTCATCGGTGGAAATCACATCGGCGGCTGTGACAGTAGGGCAATCCACTCATCCAACCATGTCGTTTATCATTCAGTTCACAAATTTATTTGTTTGTTGTTTGCACCCGTTAATTGAATTCTTGGATTTCTGGTGATTACAGTGGTCATGGCAAAGCACAAGGAAGGGAAGCTCTTATCTTTGCTTACGGATGCTGGTGCGATCGGTAATAAGTCCTCTCATATGTAAATGAATTAAAGCGAGGAGTTACTGTAGTACTACATTTGGTTCCGCATTCGTGTACAACTTTTCTTCTGATACAATTATAACAAACCTACTTAGAGTTTGTGAAATTGTCTTTCCATTATTTGGCAGGGAGTGATTTGGGCAGATACTTTGGACTTATTTGTCATAACTTTCTTTGTCTTAATTTGGCGGGTTTTTACATTTTTATAAAATAGATTGGATGTGCCAAATCAGTGCAAACCATTCTCTTTTAGCCACGCAAGGTTTGCCCTGATGCCGAATGTTACAATTAGGGGTGTCAATTGGACTGGATTTGGTCCAATCCGATCCAGTCCAATGTGAGTCCATTATAAATGGACCAGGTAATCCAATCCAATGAATGTTTTGGACCAATTTGGACCAGTCCAATTCAATATCTGGACCGTCCAATCTGTTCAAATTCATTTTGATTTAGATTGGTTTCAACTCAAACTCAGTCTATTGACACATATATTCTTATCTTTTATCAATGGACCAGACATTGGCTTAATCCAATCCAGTCCAATATAAATTTGTTAGGCGGACCAGGTCCAATCCAAAACCGGTCCATTGACACTCTTAATTACAATAAGAGAATTACAAAGGCAAATACATGGGGAGATATTTCGCTGGATTGGCTCTGGTTGAGGTTGGGCTCTATTGAAGCCCAACACGATGTCTCAAAACCTCAACCCTGGCCTGAGCCTAATCTAATAATGTTCACAACGATTCTTAGTCCTGACCTGTTTAATACACAAAGTTGGGGGTATTCAGATATATAGATCAACATGAATATGACAATCATTTTTTAAACAGGAACATGACCTGTTTAATACACATGTAACATGATATGATCCATGATTAGCCTATTTAAAATATACATTAAATAAATTTTAATAATAAAATAAACATTCAATCATTCATTACATAAATTAATCCATAAAATTATTCAATGTCATTCTTACCTAGTATAGTAATACTTCACCCAAATATAACTTGAAATGTTGGGTCATTAACAGATCATTAATGGGTTAATCCTAAATTGACATGTTTATTAATCCTATGAAATGTCAATATGATTTTGACACAAGCATAATTAAGATAAACCAAAAACTATTGATTTCATGTGGTACTTGATCATATTTGTATCGTGTCAAATATTAATTCTACGTCGAGATCGATTTGATCAGGTTGGATTGTAATTGGAACTGACCAAATTTATAAATGCATACATGAATACACTATCATACTTATGCTGACACACATATCACGCATGAGAGTAATACAAGGCCTAAGACCTCAGGTTGTGATGAGGTTGAGATTTTTCAATCCTAACCCTAACCCTAACCCAAATTTCAACCCTTCCCCCCGGTCTGGTTGGATTGATTTGGGTTCGGTTTAGCCCAACCAAAGTTGTGGCTGAAATATGGGCAAGTTCTCTTTAAGCAGAGGTGGGCCTCATAAGACCTTTGGTCTGTAATCTGCTAAACCAGTAAGAGAACTTTGCGTACCCCTCAAAAAGATGGCACGGTTTCATGTTTTTCTTATTCTCCATTAATCCAAATTTCTACGACCAATGTTTAAGATATTGGAATGTATTGATGAAACATACTAAAGAAAAATGCGATATGTTAGGTAGGGGGAATTGTAGTGTAGAGTTCCTGGAAATCTGCATTTGCTATTTTGCTGGTTAACCCCAATAGGAATGCAACTTCGAGTATGCAAATACAGACCTTCATTAGTCATTGTATTCACAAAGCAATATGCACTTACATGCTCAAAGATGCATTTCTATTGGGGTCTTGATTGAATGGAATTAATTTGTAATTTGTAATATGTAATTTGTAATTTGCAATATGTAATTTGTAATATCAAAAATAAATAAATAAATAAATAAATAACAAGACAAGTCACAAAAATGAAACAAACTTTAAGGAAACTTGATTGAATGGAATTAATTAGAAACCAACTTTGGGGAGTGCTACGAGGATAAAGGAAACACCATGGAAAGCAGGGTTAAGTAAACAAAAATGGGGAGGCAGGATAGTTTTCTTTTCGTTTATATTTTGTACAAATGTTGGGGTTGAGCTCTTTTATACCAGTGCCATGCATGGTTTTTAAAACCGACCCGGTGATCGAACCGGTCAGGGGTCCGGTTATCGGGTCAAACAGTTCAACCGTTAAATCGAACGCTCAGCCTGTTTAGACAAAAAAAAATAAAAAAATGGTCAAAATCATTCAAACGATTCGAACGATTAACCCCCAATACAACGGTTAACTGACTAAAATCAATGATTTTGGAAGGAAATTCAATTTTTAGAAAAAACAAAACCAATCACGTGACCAGTTCCCTGTTTTTCTGATCCTACCATCCGGTCCGCTCTGGTTTTAAAAACCATGATGCCATGGCACATTAATGTTAAAGGGCATTCTTAGCCACAGAGGACAACCTGACGCACAAATTGATAACTACACCACCTTACAAGTACAGGTGTACGTACGTACACATACAAAGGCGATGGCATATGTGTATGTACGTACACATACAAGTACAGGTGGCCTATTACCTAAGCACCTAACAAATTAATCTTCATAATATTTCCCAGCTTTTCCTTAGCAGATCCCCGTACATCTCTTAAAAATTTCTTTTCTAATATGATAATCGATATTTTGAATCTTGTTTGTATCGCCAAAGAAAATCAAATCCATGGGCAGGGACCCTTCTTTGGCACTCAAATGGAAGATAAAATTGTTGGGTTAGGCAAAATTAGAGATGATCCTGAGCAACAGATTGTCAGGGTCTTAGACTGAATATCATTAGATTTAGAGGAAAAAATCAACTCAGATGGACCACAAAAAACCTGCTTGGATCCCTGAAGAAATAAGCCTGGAGGGGATATGATAGGATAGATGGAACCTTAATTAAATGCCAAATGGAAGGACCTATGGTATGATACCTGGCATGCATTTATTTACTGGTGAACTTATTATTGTCATACATTTAATAACACATCAACAATCAGCCCCTTGATACCTCACCATCAACAAGCCTGTCACAGTACAAATTAATTAACTCTCAAGGTTATTTCTTCATCTTCTTCTTCTTCCTCTTTTGCTTTCTGCAGTTACCATGAACCAAAGAGCAGAACCAGAAACAAGTAAGAGAACAAGGTGAAGAAGGAAGAGGAGAAATTAGAAACCAGAAAACCTTTCCAATAGACTTCTCACTTACATTGGAGATATTAATCCAGAACTCAAGTGTTTTGAGTGCTTCTCCTGAACGTTGCGTTTCACTGGCCAGGGCTACTCCTTCAGCTAGGCTCCTTACTTTCCCACTGACCAAGAGAGCTGCAGCTGCGTTTAGGACCTGTTTTCATGTTCAACCAATGATTCTGTTACCTAGAGGTACACATCTTTTTTTTTCTTGGATATAATTTCTAGAGGTAAATATAAAAATTTAACTAGCCAGTTGATCCATTTTTGTAATAGGGTTTTGGTTGGGATGCCCTTCCTTCTTCTTCCCTTTCAGGAGGTGTTGAGGAATAGTAAAGTACTTCCACCAGATTCACCTTATAGCTCAAAGAACTCTCAAATAGACAAAAAACTTACAAGGGCATCTGCAATAGATCCTTTTTCCCCAGATAGCACACGCCTTAGTATCTCTGCATTGTACTCTGGACCACCACCTCTCAAACTCTCTACAGTACAACGTCGAATACCAAATTCCACTGCACATTATGTGTTCTGGATTAGTCATTATCTTATAATCAACAAAAAGCATAGGGGAAAGTACATATTGAAATACAGAATAAAATTATCCTGCAAATTTTATTCTTGTCTCTATTCAAGAGTTATAGTTGGAAACCACTCGGGATGAAATTATTTGACTTTTATCTTTTGCTTAACTTTTTTTTAACAAGTTTTTGCTTAGCATTTGAATACATAAATTCAACACCTAAAATGGGTTCCTTATTGAAATGGTAATACAAGTAGAATGAGTCTATGCGTGAAATTGAAAAATGACAGCGTTGTTACTTCAGTAACCTACATGCAATGAATCTCCCTATATGATTTTGTTATGCATTTAGGCATTAATAAATTAAGAATCTTAAAATTAAACAATTCATTCAAAATTGTCCCCCAAGACCTAATTACTCTTTTCTTAAAAATGGTTGAATTAAAGTGAGAAAGACAACAAGATTGTTACATGGATCAAAGGAAAACTTCTCAATCTTTTCAGGAGTAACATCAAGGACTAATCCAGGCCCTGTAAAAAATACACCACCAGAAATTACTGCAAGTTAAAAGAAAAAAATAAGTAGAAGAAAAAAAAATAGAAAAGAAAATAGTTATCCACAACTGCAATGAAAGACGATCAACAAAGTAATAGAAATATCAATCACCAAGCTTGGGAGTGCATGAAACCAGTGTAATTTGTCTATCATACCAAGGGGACTCATTTCATCTAGACCCTCCGAGTGAACAACTAATGCTCTTCTCATTCCAAATCTTTGCAGTGCTTTGGCCATTTTGATCACCTGTCCAAGAACGAAGAAGTCGTGCACATAAACATGACATTGATTTGAAAAAGGACAATCAGTGAAAAACAAAAATTCAAGTAATAATGCAACAAATTAAAAGAATGGCCAGAAATTATGAAATTATCTAAATATTCTTTTATAAATGGTGTGAAATTTGTATTACCATATTAATAAACACGTGAAAGCATATACAAGGCTGCTATACAGCTGTTTCAAAAAAGAAATATTTTCAGCTCTATACATAAATCCACAAAAAAAGCTTGGTAATTAGTAAATGATATTTCTCCACTGATTCATGAAAGTGTGAATGGGGACATCATAAAAAATCCTTTGGGACCCCCACCCACTGAAGAAGCGACCACTCTATTTTTCTGATCACCACTTGACAGGAGAGGACTTCTCTTCAAAAATCCTGCTGTTACTCTCCTTCCAGATAGCCCAGCAAAATACAAGGGGGAGTGGCATCCTGAGAATTTTTCCTTTAGCCGAGAAACTGGGCTGCTTCCAAGAGGCCAACAGAGATGGTAGGTACATCAGGGGGTGTTACCCATGATCTCCCAAACAGGGTCAAAACGTGAAGCCAGATCCGTTTAGAGAAAGCACAATGAATGAGTAGATGAGACACTGATTCCTGAAAATTGCCACACAAACAACAAGAGTTCTCAAGCTGCATGCCCCTGACCACTAGGTTATTGACTGTTAGGATTCTATCCAAGGCTGCTGACCGAAGAAAGAAAATAACCTTGGTGGGGACCTGTACCTGGCAAATCCAAGCCCATGGAACAGGCTAAGATAGTTGGCCTGTGAGAGCTTTGTAGCCAGATAGTTGGCCTGTGAGAGCTTTGTAGCCAGACTTGCATGAGAAACATCCTGAGCTGTCCCAAATCCACACATTGCTATCATCAGCTTCTGGATGAATATCAAAATTATGGAGTCTTTCTAGCAGAGAACCAAGAGCCTTGAGCTCCCAGTCCTTCATGTTGTGTCTGAAAGTGGGGCTTCATACTATAGCCAAATGCTCTAATTATTTGTTTTATGAATAATAAAGCATTTAATTACATTTTTTTTAAGATGGATTTACAACTGATACAGCATTTAGTTTTCCCAAGAGGAGCGAGATGCTGCCCCAAGAAAACAAGATAAATTACATATTTACAGTGTAGCACAGAATAATTAACCCCTTGCTTAGCTAGTAGGTTTACGAGCCCATTTGCTGATCTTCTCTCCCACTGAACTCTGACTGTTAAATTAGAAGTTAGCCATTTGAATCTTCTCATCGCCCCCCTGAAAGGCCAAGCCGCTGTCTCCAGTTCATTCAGCCACCCAATTACCACTTTAGAGTCTCCTATGACGAGATTTCTGAGGTTCATCTCTTTAGCGATTTGAGCTCCCTGTAGAACAGCTTGGACCTCTGCACTAACCGCATCCCCCACTCCAATGCTCTAATTATAACACAACACTAATCCCTTTTCTTCAGGCAAGATAAAAAATGATAGCCAATGTGCATAAATCCATTTGATGGTAGGATGTAAAATCAAGTGTATTATGATGGAACGTAGATGCTTGAGTCAGGTCATACATGTTAGTGTATTTCTTTGTCTATTCTAGTTTGTATATATTACCTTTATATACAAGATATTCAAGAATATTTCCCCAAGTCCTTAAAACCTGTGACAATATTTTCCAATCACCAGATTGAAGCAACCATCATGACAGTACAATTTGGGTGGGGCCATGTTGAAGGTTCAAAGGAAACTGTTATTAGAGGATAAAGGGGTTTCTATTCTTCAAATCTGAAAAATCTCTTCATGCTTCCGAAAATTCTGATTTTAATGCATCATTCACTATGGTCACTAAATTTGACTTGGTATCAGCAATCCAACCTCGCCTTGTAAAGACCACTATAGTGGCTACTACATCTTCAATATCAAGCAGTGGTCCGTTCCGAGGTCCTTGTGTTTGGAGCAAACGAAGAAGGAATGGGGTTCCTTGTTCACATCACTTGTGGTGGCATCCCAAGTATCCTGGTTTTATCCTATGCCAAATGCCTTATTAGATTTATGTCGACCAGAAACATGAACAAGAGCAGAGTTTCTGAATGAAAAGAAGGTAACCTTACAAACATAGCGACTTCTAAATCATATTTTGACAAGTTATTGGAGAAACCCGGTAACACTACAATCCATCGTGGGTCAACTTACTAGATCTTCATTGTAAACACCAACAACTGCAAAAGGCACCCGTGCCGGATTCAGCATAGGACCCAAGATATTGAACACGGTCTTCACTTCAAGATTTTTCCTCACAGGGGCAACGATTTTCATTGCTGGATGGTACTTTGGAGACATCATGAAACCAATGCCTGCTTCCCTTATACATCTTCTTACTCCCTAATTCCAAGGAAACAAGAGGGTATAAAAGGAATAATCACCATGAAAGCGTAGAAGATTCAGCAGAAACCTGCAGCAAGTACATGATTCACCAATTGGTAACCTAAATTTAACGCACCAACCTGAGGGCCTAGATCAATGGCAACTCCCAATGCTTGTAACACATCGGCGCTTCCACATGCAGAAGAACTGGAGCGGTTTCCTTGCTGGAAGGCAGCAAACAAAATCGTTATTCTTCTTACTTTTCCCTGTTCTCTCAGTGTGCTTTTCTTTTAAAGAAACTGTGGATCGGGGAGGGGATGGTGATATATCACCTTTGCAACTTTTGCACCGGAAGCAGCGGCAAGGATAGAAGCGCCCGTCGAGATGTTAACAGTGTTTGCCCCATCGCCACCGGTTCCGACAATGTCAACTGCATCCCCAACCTCTTCGACTTTCCTACAGTATTTGATAATAGCCCTTGCCAATCCTACAATCTGGGCATCAGAGCGCCCATTAACTTCTGTAAGAGAAAAGCAAATATGTGTCCTAATTATGGAATTTCTAAAGCACAACCAAGATGTAAGGTTAGCTTCTAACAAATATAAGGACAATTAGCGTGTGTTTACTTCTTCGAATGTCTCCCCTTTGGCTCTTAAAAGAACAAGAAGAGCGCTGACGAGCACTTCATTAGCATCTTTCAATAGGAAATCGAGAGAGGCTTCTGCCTGCTCTTCTGATAAATCCACCCCATTTATTAGAGATTCAATCAACTGCATAACCACAGGGAAAAAAGAAAAAACTGAAAACGGGTTCTTGAATAAGAAAAAAGAAATAAGATCCAAACTTTGGAAAATCAAGAATTGGCAGACCTCCTTGGATGAGAGTATTGCCGAAGTTGAAAGTTGGTGAGCAGTTCCCGAAGTTGTGAAGTTGGCTTGCTTCATGTGAGAAACCGAGGCACCGTAGAAGCATTTTCGGAATTCAAAACGGACACCGGGAGGCCTGCAGATGGTTGAAGAGCGATAGATAGCAAAACGAGCCCCTCCAACTCCAAGCCCAAGTGATGTGGCCATTGTTTCGGGCTAGGCGCTAAGCTTCCGCCTTCCACTTTTATTTTCGGGGTTCTCCGGTTCGCAGCAACGAGTCATGGCCTGGGGTCGCGAGGGAGTCTGAAATAATTTTCAGGGTTCTATCTCTATTACTAATTTAATCACGATTTAGGCTGTGTTGGTGTTATTGAAAATGAAGGGAGGGCGGGCGGGAGAGATGTCTGAAACTTGTCTTCTGAATTCTGATGACAAACGCTAAGCCAAGTGTCAAACTGCCAATCGAGCGCTGCGTTCTCTCTCTCTCTCTAAGACCAATGCCAGAGTTTACTTGCAATATGAATTTTCTCTCGCGAAAATTATGATGCCGGAAATAAGGTTTTATCTGTTATTGTGGTAGATAAAGGAAGAAATTAACGTGATCCGATGTTTTTTTATGGGAAAATTTCAGTTTAGTACCCTGAAATTTGGGGTAATGTCAAGTTTTAGTATTCTAACTTTCAAACGTGTTAATGGAGTATTGTACTTTCAAAGAGTGTCAAATTGATCTTTACTGCTAAACACCATCAATTATCTATTGAAAATATTAAAACTACCCTTTAAAATAATAATATTGTTTATTATCTTTTAGTTAAGATTAAATCAATTATCTTCAAAGAAAAAGAGAAAATAATGATAGAGGAAAATAATAACTGAAAGCAAAAAAATAACGAATTCAAATCTAAAGATAAAAAATAATGACTTCATTAATTTAAAATCTCAAACATCTCAACCATTCAATCTCAAGGTAAAACATAATAAACAATGCCTTATTTTGAACGATAGTTTTGATAAATTGACACTACCTATAAATGTTTTGGGCCCACCATGAGTTGGCCTGCTAATTACCTTGCTCCACATATTTTTGGTTTGTTAAATGTCTCTTTTAACGCCTACCAACTTCCCTCCTGTTATCCCTCCTCCTCTTCCCCATCTCTTTTCGTCTTTTTTAGAACCTTTTTGGGGCAGCTCCCTCTCAAATCAAAATAACAATAGATAATTAGATAACGTTAGTGATGGGATGCCTCTTAATTGGGAAAATTTTAATTTAATACCTTGAATTTTAATTTAATATCCAAACTTTAAAATGTGTTACTGCAATATTCAATTTTTCAAAAACTGTCAATTTGGTTTCAAACAAACAAATGCAATGACACACCCCTAGTAAATCCATAGAACAGAGAAAATGATTTTTTTAAATGTCAAAATTACCCCTTTTAAACCCTTGTTGATTCAGACCAAGGACCTCTGTTAACAACAAACACCGAAGGTCCTGTTTGAAATTGCAGCGTTCGCCATCGATGAGTTCATCTTGGAAATCATAACCAGAGAGAAATCCCAGTGTGTTCAGTCGTTGTCGGAGAGAAACATCTCTAGAGAAGCATCAGTTCTTGGTTAGATTTGCTGCTGAATAGGATATGCCAATCGGAGAACAAATAGAAGTCTTAAAACTCTATCACGCAATTGACAGTTAGAACATGGTGGTGAAGTTCATGACTAAATCCAGATAAGATTTAACGATATGAGTTCCCAAATGAATGCTTGAAAACCTAAGTCCTGCAGCACAAGAGTAGACAGAGAGATTAGAGAAGGAAAAAAAAACAAGAGAGAAGAAGAAGAAGAATCTCTCAAATTTTCACAACCATATGTGTTCTCTGAACGGAGCCAAAAGCCAACGAAATCCACAAATCTACCCACCAAACAGAAAACTAATCCAAATTGTTCAGAGTTGCAGTTGAACAAGTGAAACAAGAAAAAACAGAACAAGGACCTTGTAGGAAAAAAAGGAACTTTTTATAAAGCATTGAGCATATAGCCTGGGAAGTGAAAATGCAGAGTTGAAGATGAAGATCCATAGATGAATAAATAATAAGTGAAAAAGCATAGTGGAAAGAATTAAAGAAACGAGAGGAAGTGCAGGCGGTAAATTAACAGTAACAGTAAGCTTTACCTGGGAAATGGTGGCTTTGTTACTGACTAATTAATTACATATGGAGAACACTTCCACCTCCCTTATCTCACTCATGGTTTTCAAAACTGGACCGGACAGGACGGTTGGACCATAAAAACAGTGAACCGGTTAGATGATCGGTTCCGGTTTTTCCCAAAACTGGATTTTTCATAAAAACCGTTGATTTTGATCAACAAATCACTGACCCAAGTGGTTAATCGTTTGAATCGTTCGAACGATTTTGACCAGTTTTTAATTCTTTTTGTCAGAATGGGCCGGCCATTCAGGTCGAATGGTCGGTAACCGAACCCCTGACCGGTTCGGTCTCCGGATCGGTTTTAAAATCCATGATCTCACTCACTCCACTCCATCCAACATTAGGGTCACTCTCCACGAGAGCAGCTTTGTCTCGGTTGGTAAGATCTCAATCTCTCTCTCTGGTTTTCCCGCAGGCACACCAGGGTCTGAAATAAGGCAGCAATTGGCGACATTTAACGGGTTCCCGCAAGCGCACCAGGGTCGGAAACAAGCGGCGATTGGCGTCATTTATCGAATTCCCACAGGTGCACTAGGGGGTCTGAAACAAGCGGCGATTGGCATCATTTCTTGGGATAAAATTGATCAGCACCACCATGCCATGATACGTAGCGGAGGGGAGGTGATACTCTCCACTGGGGCCATTGGAAGTCCGCAGATTCTACTACGGCAACGACGGCGGAACCCAGTCTTCACTGTTTAGCTTCAACCAACCGTATATTTTTGGGAAATATTAAATTGGTTTGAAAAGGGTATAATGCTCCTCAATTATGCTTAAAGGGTATTTCGGACATATGATTGACAAAGCTAACGGAGTACCAACGATAGGAACCGACTTGACAGTTTTCAAAAGTTTGGGTACTCCGGTGACTTTTCGGGTACTAATTTGACACTAGGGGTGTAAATGAATGAATGGGATCAAGCAATATCTGAATTCAAATCCAATTAGAAAATCTGATATTCGAATTTTATTTGCTATCCAACAGATATTGAAAATTAATATTCAAATTTGAATCTGATTAAATATTTGAATATTTGATTAATTAATTACTTTAAATAATTAATAAATATTTTATTGATATAAATTATATAAATTACTTATATAACTTAATTATTATATATATATAATATATATAATAATTTATATATTATATATAAGAATTAAATAATCGGTCAAATTTGGATATTTAGCGAATCGAATCAGGTCATATCCGAATTCGACCGATTATATTAAATTTGAAATCGGATTTTTGAATACTGTTGACACCCCTACTTGACACTATCCCAAAGTTCATGGTACAAGTGAAATTTTCCCTAAGGCTACGTTTTGAATCAATGTAAATCAAGAACCGATGTAAAAGTTTACGCCAATTCGATGTTGTCAGCACTTGGAATGAGTGTATCATGATTGACGTAAAACTCCACTCCGGTTTAGTTTTACGTGTGTTTAGATGGAGTGGAATTCACGTTGTGAATCGGTGTAAAACCTCATTAAACATAAAATTTTACATCGACTATCGATATAAATACTACATCGATAAAATCAATGTAAAATTTTAGACCGATCACATTATATTTCAAAAGTGCGAAAGTCACTAAATCACGATTCAGTGTAAAACGTCATCAATATAATTTTACACCGATTCCAAACGCAGCATAGGCAAAAAAGATCATCCCTCTCGTCTTCCTTTTTACGGCATCAATCAAAATCCTCCTTTTTTTTAGAGTGTGATACAAGCTCTTCCCAGTTCCCACCGATCAATCCAAAACTCACGGATAAAATTCATAAACCTCCCCTGGGGTTTAACTTTAACAAAAACCACCCTTTGGAAAAATTTACACTTTCCTCCTTCGGTCAACGAAAACGTTGACTAATAAATTGGTTTATTTAAAATACCCACTTTAACCTTTTTATATATTAATTTTATATGAATTTTTACTAAAATAACTCGGAAAGCAATTTTAACTTGAATCACCTATTCAACAACATAATATTCGACTTTAGCCAATCACTCGACCAATGTATCCTTTTTCTTTACAAATTACAAGAAATTAAAGAAAATAATTTAATCTTAATGGTAACCCCCCAACAGGCATGCATCCATCAAACAAAAAACAAAAATCAAAACTCTGTTTCTACAATTCATCGGTTTTATATCAAATAAGTTAATCTCGATTCAACCTCTGAGAATATTTTCACCTGACTCGTTAGTTAGTCCTCATCATAAAAGGGAAAAGGAAAGAAATAACAAAAAAAAAATTAAAATTAACTGGAAAAAAGATGCATTGGGCACAACATCAATTAGGCTAGCATTGTCACCTTTATGTTCGTCCAATATCTCTAGAGCTGATCCGAACTGGAACCAATGGCCTCTATATCGGTTCAACTAACTCCGAACCATAATCAAGAATCTCGCCTGCTGCTTCCTATCGTTGTACTAAACTAATCATCTAGTATCCATTTAATTGGAGAATTGAAGTCAATGCAGTGGCCATTTTTAACATACTGTCATTCACCTCATACAACTTCTTAGCCCACCCTTTCAGCTCGATGGCTGAAAACCGTAGTCCATGAGTTGGGTTGGCTGGCATCTTGTGTCCAATCTACGACGTAAGCCAAGACTCTAACGAAACTTGGCTTTTAATTCCGACCACGCTTGGTAATTGCAATTAATGATTCATCACCACCCTTTAATTTGTTCCTTTGTCAATGTCTTCACCCTGTTCCCTTCAAATCCATTTTATCCATCCATTCTATTCATGGGTCAATATAGGTCGAGCAATCCATTAGGATCAGTGAAAAAGGGTTAGGGTGGATTAGGTCAAAGTATCCATTAGAGTTAGGATAGATTGGGTTGAGGGGATCAAGGGTTGGATTGATAATTTCACCAAAATATGTGTTTCAGGAGACTTAAACTAAAGTCTACTTAGCAGGTTAACATCTCCTTCCATTTCAAGCCACCAAGCCAAATGTGATTTTATGATTAAAAGTGATATATAAATGATATTATTAACTTTTGTGTTCATATGCAATTTAAATAAAAAACAAATATTTATATTTAACAACTCTAACTAAAAATTAGAAAATAAATTAAAAATATTATTTTATAAACTAATAGAATAAATAATTTATTAAATCTATATTTATATAAAAAGATGATTTTTAATATCAAAAAAT